TTCAGGATTTTCTCTTTGTCACTAAGACTTGTAAATTTTACTATTAGGTGACGGGGTGTGGACCTATTCTTATTGATTTTGAGGGGGGTTCTCTGCACCTCCTGGATTTTGATGCTTGTTCCCTTTGCCATATTGGGGAAATTCTCTCCAATAATTCTCTCCAATATACCTTCTGCTCCCCTCTCTTTTTCTTCTTCTGGAATCCCAATTATTCTAATGTTGTTTCATCTTATGGTGTCCCTTATCTCTCGAATTCTCCCCTCGTGGTCCAGTACCTGTTTGTCCCTCTTTTGCTCAGCTTCTTTATTCTCTGTCATTTTGTCTTCTATATCGCTAATTCTTTCTTCTGCCTCATTTATCCTAGCAGTGAGAGCCTCCATTTTTGATTGCACCTCATTAATAGCTTTTTTGATTTCAACTTGGTTAGATTTTAGTTCTTTTATTTCTCCAGAAAGGGCTTTTATATCTCCCGAGAGGGTTTCTCTAATATCTTTCATGCCTTTTTCGAGCCCGGCTAGAACCTTGAGAATCGTCATTCTGAACTCTAGATCTGACATATTACCAATGTCTGTATTGATTAGGTCCCTAGCCTTTGGTACTGCCTCTTGTTCTTTTTTTTTTGTGGTGAATTTTTCCGCCTTGTCATTTTGTCCAGATAAGAGTATATGAAGGAGCAAGTAAAATACTAAAAGGGTGGCAACAACCCCAGGAAAATATGCTTTAACCAAATCAGAAGAGATCCAAATCGTGAGGGGGGAGAAAGGGGATAAAAAGAGGTTCAGAAAGAAAAAAAAAAAAAAAGAAACAATTAAAAAAAGAAAACGAATAAAGAAAAAAAAAATATATATATATATATTAGATAAACTAGTTAAAAAACGTTAATAAAGAAAAGGGTAAAAGTTTAAAAAAGTTTGGCAGAAGAAGAGAGAAAAAGATTGAAAAAAAATTAACTGCAAGACTAAAGAATCATGGGGAGAAAGCCATGAGTTCCATGCTTTGCTTTCTCCTCCTCTGGAATTCCGCCGCTCTCCTTGGTATTGGAACTGCACTCCTTGGTAGGTGAACTTGGTCCCGGCTGGGTTTCTTGTTGATCTTCTGGGGGAGGGGCCTGTTGTAGTGATTCTCAAGTGTCTTTGCCCCAGGCGGAGTTGCACCGCCCTTACCAGGGGCCGGGCTGAGTAATCCGCTCGGGTTCGCTTTCGGGAGCTTTTGTTCCCTGAGCGCTTTCCGTAGAGTCCGGAGGACGGGAATGAAGATGGCGGCCTCCCAGTCTCCGGCCCGGAGGAGCCGAGAGCCCGGGGCCCCACTCCTCAGTGCGCCGTCAGAGAACAGCGCCCAGTTACTCCCGTCTCCCCGGCCTCCGGCCGCGCTCCGAGCTGACCGAGACTGCGAGTGGTCCAAGGTAACCCCGAGCTGAGAGTCACTCCTCGGCTCTGTCTCTGTAGCCGGCTTCCCCGTTCTAATACCTGCGAGCTCTGCGACACTCAGACACCCCGATCCTTCTGTGACCCTGCGGGACCTGAGGCCACGCTGACCCCGTGTGGGCTTCACCCCGGTTTAGCCTGGGGAGCGACGTCCCTCAGCGGAACAGACTTTTAAAAGTCGCGATTTTGTGCTCCGTTGCTCCGCCGCTTGCCGGGAGCCGGCCCCTCCCCCCGCGGTCTATCTTCCCGTCGCTTTGGATTCACTTCTCCGCCGGTCCTACCTTTCAGAAAGTGGTTGATTTTCTGTTTCTAGAATTGCTGTTCTTCTCTTCGATCTCCCGTTGGATTTGTAGGTGTTTGCAATCGTTAGATAAGCTATCTAGCTGATCTCCCGCTACCTGAAGTAGTCTCAGCCGCTACTTCTGAGTCCTGTATTTTTTTCAGAGAATATATATCTGGCTGGCCGAATATTCTGGGTTTTAAGTTAGGGTGGTGTTAAATTAGAGGGTCTGCATTCACTTATCTGTGTTGTCAGTGTGGTCTGTCCAGAGACCACTAGGGTTTTCTATTTTGTTTTTCTCTGAAGAAAAATCTCCAGTTTTCTGTTTGAGGGAAGGTGAGGTATTTCTTAGCTGCTCAGATTGGGAAGATATTATGGGAACCCAGCTGTTGCCTAAAGAGGCTTTAAAAGTCTGAAAGTCCTATTACTTTTAGTTCAGCCTTTCTGAGAAATCTCAATTCTCAAGCCTTTTTTGCATCCTACGATGTTAATTTAGTTGTTTCTCAACATTCTTGAATGCAGGTTAAGGATTCTACTCATCCATATGCTACCTGGCTTTTAAAGTTTTCTCATACTTCCTCCTCTCCCGTTCATTGTCCTTGTCAGTTTATGCTGTTGAGAAAATCTCTGTTTGAAAAGTTGGGGCTTTAAGAGTCAGAGAAGCTAAGTATTCACATTCAGTGTACTCTCTTTAACTGGAAAAGATTTTAAGTTTTTGTTTGTTTGTTTTTAGAAAGAGAAAGAGAGAGGATGGCGGGGCGGGGAGGAAGAGGGAGACTTCTCCCTTCTGAGCAGGGAGCCCTACATGGGGCTCAATCCAAGGACCCCTAAATCATGACTGGAGCTGAAGGCAGATGCTAAACCTGCTGAGCCACCCACAGGTGCCCTAGATTTTAAGTTTTTAAGGGCATATTGTTTTCTGTGTAGTATCAGCTTTAGTATTCCTAAAACTGTTTTTCATTATCATCTTTATTCACATCATGAAGTATTGAATAGTACATTTGTGGTAATATGTCGATATATAAAAACAAAAATAAACTTGAAGAATTTAATTTTTTTACAAGGTATATTTGTAATTATGTTTGGGATTTAAATGTTTTTATTGAAAACAAAAGTCTGAGAGCTGAAAAGGTGACTCATTTCTGAGTCTCAGCTTTTATCATTTTTTTAAAAAAATTTTATTTGTCAGAGAGCACGCACAAGCAGGGGAAACTGCAGTTGGAGGGAGAAGCAGGCTCCATGCTGGGCAAGGAGCCCAATGCAGAACTTGATTCCAGGACCCTGAGATCATGACCTTTGGCAATTGCTTAACCAGCTAAACCATCCAGGCACCCCATAGCTTTTATCATTTTTTATTAGTATTTGGTTAAAGAAAATTTTCCAGGAAACTAAGAATTTTTAAAAATAATGAAAAGCAGATGGGCATTATCAAATAAGTTAGAAAATACAAATTAGGGGAATATGTATGTTTACTATTGGTAATTGGGAAATAAAATAATGACCTATTTATATGTTTCATATATATATGTGTGTGTGTGTGTGTGTGTGTGTGTATATATATATATATATATATATGCATTATTTAGGTGCTTTGTAAAAATTTTGTTCGGCATTTTTGATGCATTTAACAGATGTATTAAAGTATGTAAGATTATGCCACTCTTCTGCTCAGAACCCTCTTATAGTACTAAATAATTGGGACAAACCTACTGAAGACAACTAGAAAAGCTGGAGAAAAAATTTTTTAAATGTGCCTCAAGGCTTTGGAGAGCTAGCAAGTCTGCAAAGAATCACCTGGCAAGGGGGGCAGAGGCCCAGTGAGCTAAGCCCCGTGTGTGAGGTTACAGTGAGCATGAACAGCAGGGCTGTACATGGTGACTTGATGACTCTCGCAGATGTGCCTAAGGGAAAGCAGCTAGACATGAAAGAATATGTGCTATGATTTTATTTTATGTAATATTAAAAACATAGGCCATTTTAATTAGAGTTCATATGATTGCATATTCTTGGTCTAAAGGAAAAGAAGGACGTGATTACCAGTCTAGTTTGGATATTGGTTACTTCTGTAGGGTGAGGGGATATTGATCAGGAGGAACACTGTTGGGGGCTTTTAGATTCTGATAATTCTTGGCCTTAGTGCTCGCTCATTCCACAGGTGTCTACTTTGGGATATTACTGAGATGTACAGTCTTGACTTTTTGTATTCTTCTCTAATGTATTATTCATAATGGAAAACTTATTAAAAATTGAAGATACTTAAGTGATTCCCTATATATAAATTAAAGGAAAAGCCAAGGAAGTTTTTATTGTGTATTGTAAAGCCCTGTAAATTTGGCCTTGTTTTACATCTGTTACCTCATCTACTTCTACTTCTCCTTCCCTCCTTGCACTCCACTCCATCTGCATGGGCTTCTTCAATCTACACTGAATATGCCAGAAATGCTACACAGTAGGGCCTTTGTACTTGGTATATCTCCTTAAGTAGTTCCTCAAAATACACCTGCATGGGAAAAACTGTTTAATATTGTATCCTTCTCCCATACTGTTTCCTATGATTGCTTTATTATTTTTTTCTGTAGTACTTATCAGTCTCTACAACACTGTACAACTTTTTTTTTTTTTTTTAACTTGACAGCCTCCTAACAAATGGAAGGCAAAGATTTTGGCGTTTTTGAATACCTGCCACATCCTTAGCACCTAAAACTGGGTGAATAGTGGGCACCTGGAAAATACTTGCTACAGAAATCAGTTAATTTTAATCTAAGCAGTGGTTCAGGGAAATAATGCTCAGTGCTACCTTTACCACTTTTTTTGTCACCTAAAATAGTTTGTAGTTTTACTGAAAAACAAAATTCCTACAAAAAAGGTAATAAATATGCCATGTTTAGATAATTGATTATATAGCTCATTTGGGAATTAAATAAAGTCTACAGTATTTTATTTTAAACAGAGCTGTACTTATATTGGATCTTATAGTGTTTACTATTGTAATCATCCAAAAATAAAGTGCTATATTGTAGTGTGCTGTGTTTTTGTGCTTATTAAACTAATAGTCATGATGATCTTTGCCTTAGAATTTATAATCTAAGACATCCTTGATTTGACAAATAAAAAACAGATGGTAGAGCTGAATCTATTCTGTTTTCTATAGTCAAAACAAAATAACATATAAGCTTAATAGTTTCATTCACTTACTGAATACTTGTTGAATGAAACAGTTTGTTTATTGAAGGAAAATTATACTGATTACAGTTTATTTGGACTTTTAAAACCTTCATTATTTTTCTTTATTATAGCAGCTTCATGGAGTTTGGCCACAAGATGTTGTTGATGGAACTTGTGTAGCAGTAAATAACAAGTATCGACTCATGGCATTTGGTTGTGCAAGGTAATTAATAGAGACTTCTTCATTTTTTTTTTAAAAGATTTTATTTATTTGACAGAGAGATCACAAGTAGGCAGAGAGGCAGGCAGAGGGGGAGGGGGAAAGCAGGCCCTCTGCTGAGCAGGGAGCCCGACGCGGGGCTCAATCCCAGGACCCTAAGACCATGACCTGAGCTGAAGGCAGAGTCTTAACTCACTGAGCCACCCAGGCACCCTGAAATGACTTCATTTTAAGAGTCATTGTCAAAAATAATGGGCTTTTTAAAAAATATATTTTTACATATTTTTTAAACATAAAGTGTTCTAAATATACTTATAAACTTTTTCATGCCTATCATAATTTAGTAATCAGCCTTAATGTAAAATCTGAATGCATTTTATTAGATTGAAGCAAACAGATCTAAGGATTTAGGATATTGAGTGTTTTAAAGGTGAGCTTTAAAGGTGAGCTTTTCTTCAGTGGTAGGAACTTATAACTTGAGTTACAAGTTGAAAAGATATAGTCAGCCTAAATTTAAGTTCCTTATTATTTAAAAGAGGATTAGGAAGAATTTTTTTTTTTTAAGATTTTATTTATTTATCTGACAGAGATCACCAGTAGGCAGAGAGGCAGGCAGAGAGAGAGGAAGGGAAGCAGGCTCCCTGCTGAGCAGAGAGCCCGATGCAGGGCTCGATCCCAGGACTCTGGGATCACGACCCGAGCTGAAGGTAGAGGCCCTAACCCACTGAGCCACCCAGGTGCCCCTATTTTTCTTTATTAAAAATCCCTTTTTCTGGCTAGTATCCAAAATCTATAAAGAACTCAAACTCAACACTCAAAAAATTAAAAATCAGTTAAATTGGCAGAAAACAACAGAATTCTGCAAAGAACACAACAGATAGCTTACAGACACATGAGAAAATGCTCGACATCACTCATCAGGGAAATACAAATCAGAGTCACAATGAGATATCACCTCACACCAGTTAGAATGGCTAAAATGAACAGCTCAGGAAACAGTAGATGTTGGTGAGGATGTGGAGAAAGGGGAACCCTCTCACACTGTTGTTAGGAATGCAAACTGGTGTGGCCACTCTGGAAAACAGTATGGAAGTTCCTCAAAAAGTTAAAAATAAGACTACCCTATGACCCCGCAATTGCACTACTGGGTATTTATCCAAAGGATACAAAAATGCTGATTTGAAGGGGGCACATGCACCCCAATGTTTATAGCAGCATTATCCACAGTACCCAAAACACAGAACCCAAATGTCTATTAAGTGATGAATGGCTAAATAAGAGGTGGTATGCATGTACAATGGAATATTACTCAGCCATCAAAAAGAATGAAATCTTGCAATTGCAATGACATGGATGGAACTGGCGTATACTATGCTAAGCAAAATCAGTCAGAGAAAGATACCATATGAAGTCTTAAAAAAAAAAAAAGATTTTATTTACTTGAGAAAGAAGATAAGCAGGAGGAGGGATAGAGGGAGAGGGACAGGTAGACTCTCTGCTGGAGGAGGCACAGGACTCCATCCCAGGACCCTGAGACCATGACCTGAGCCAAAGTCAAATACTTAACTGACAGAACCACCCAGGTACCCCAACAAATATCATTTGATTTCACTTAGGTGGAATTTAAGAAACAAAACAGATGAACATAGGGGAGAGAAGGAAAAATAAAATAAAAATAGAAGGAGGCAAACCATAAGAGATTCTTAACAGTAGGGAACAAACAGGGTTGCTGGAGGGGAAGTTGGTGGGGGGATGGGCTAGACAGGCGATGGGCATTAAGGAGGGCAGTTCTGATGAGCACTGGGCGTTGTGTGCAACTGATGAATCACTAAATTCTACCCCTGAAACTAATACTACACTATACGTTAAGTAAGTAGAATTTAAATAAAATCTATAAAATAAAATGTAAATAAATAACAAATAAAATTTAAATAAAATAATATTATACTCTATGTTAACTAAGTAGAATTTAAATAAAAATCCTTTTTAAGACATCAGTGTTGACATTGCCTTTGAATTTGTGGATGTGCCTTAATGAACAAATTTAAAGCTCACACATAGGATGAGTTTCTTGTTTTAATTCTGACAGTGCAGGTTCTAGAAGTAAAATACTGAGTGAGTACAGATTATTCACTCAACAAGTATCTTTGCATCTCCCATGCACCAGGCATAATTCTAAGCACTTGGGATATGTTAGAAAAGAATAAGATAACTGACTTTATCAAGTTTATATTTCAGCTCAAATAAAAAGATTATAGTAGAATCTTAATAGTAATGCCTTAAAATATGTAGAGTGCTTTTTTAGCCACAAAACTCTCTTGAATACGAAATTTTATTTTGTCCTCAAAATGAGACTTAGTGGTTCTATAGAACATACTTCTAGTATTATTTCTAGCTAAATCAAATTGAGTATCACAATATTTTGATTAGTGTAAATAATACATGTTATAAATCATACTCCATAATCTGTGAAGTGGTGAATCCTACATATTGCTTCTCAGGAGATAAATGCAGAAATAGAAGTAATTTCAGCTCAGTATAATAAAAGTGTATTTTTTTTCTTATTTGTGGATTTGATTTGGTCACATTTTGTTTAGATTTTTTAAATCTATGTTTATTAGCACATTTTGCCTGTTATTTTTTTCTTACTCCACTAATTAATTGAAGTTATGCTTGTGTCACAAAGCAAATTGAAGACCTATTCCTCTCTTTCTGTGTTTGAATGTCTGCTTGAATTTGTCAATGAAGCTATCTGAGCCTAGAATTTTCTTTGTGGGAATTTTTTGATTACTGATTCAATTCAGTTTTAAAAGTAAATTTAAGGTTTAGATTTTTCTCTTTTCCTAAGTCATTTTGACAAGTTAGATTTTTCCAGGAATTGGTATCTTTCATTTTACTGTCAAATAAATTGGCTAAAGATTTAAAATATCCTTTTTAACTTTCATATTATAAAGTAAAAACATACTTAGAGGAAAGTGCATAGTCCAAATACTCAGTTTTACAAATATTACAAACACCCATCTGTTCACAAACTGGGTTAGGAAATAGAGTGTTGCGAGCCAGCCCCACTACTTCCTAAATCCCAACTCCCATCTCCCGACACACTTAAAAGTAACCAATTTTCTGTCTTTGTGATGATCGTTTCCTTGTCTTTATAGTTTTACCACCCCTGCATGCGATCCTAAAGAGCGTAATTCAGTTTTACCTGATTTTGAACTTTATGGGAATAGAATCATATTCTGAATACATTTTGGGTCTTCTTGCTTCTTTGAGTCAGCATTGTTAAATTCATCCATGCTGTTTGCCAGTGGCAAAAATCATTTTTCGATTGATTTATGGTTTTCCAGTATATGAATATGTCATAATTTATCTGATTTGTTATTTAATGGACATTTATATTGTTTCTTGGATTATAAATAAAGGGGGAACATTTTCTTACATAACTCAGTGTCTTTGTCATACATGAGAAAATTAATGATACATCCCAAATAAGATCTAATTCTCAATCCATACTCAGACTAAGCCAGTTGTCACCAAAATTTCATTTATAGCTCCTTGTTTTAACCAGAGTCAATCAAAATTAATGATTTGTGTTTGGTTATTGTTTCCATGTAGTTGCCTTTTTCCTGTAACAACCCATACACCTTTTTCTTATTTTCATAACATCAATTCTTTTTTTTTTTTTTTTTTTTTAAGATTTTATTTATTTGGGGGCGCCTGGTGGCTCAGTGGGTTAAAGCCTCTGCCTTTGTTCAGCTCAGGTTATGATCCCAGGGTCCTGGGATCAAGCCCCACATCAGGCTCTCTGCTCACTGGGGAGCCTGCTTCCCCCATCTCTCTGCCTCCTCTCTGCCTACTTGTGATCTCTGTCTGTCAAATAAATAAATAAAAATCTTTTAAAAAGAGAAAAGATATTATTTATTTGACAGAGACACAGAGAGAGAACACAAGCAAGGGGAATGTGAGAAGAAGAAGTAGGCTTCCTGCTGAGCAGGGAGCCCGATGTGGGCCTTGATCCCAGGACTCTGGGATCATGACCTGAGCCGAAGGCAGATGCTTAACGACTGAGCCACCCAGGTGACCTAGACATCAACTTTTTAAGAGTTCAGGCCAGTTGTTTATAGAATGTCCTGCACTCTAAATGTCTCGTTTCCTCATAGTTAGTTCCTCTAAACCAGCCATGACTGGAACCTTGAAGCTGGTTCTTGTCGAGCCAGTCCAGTCAGACATGTGAGCATCTGACAGGAGCAGTGGGGTGGTGGTCCCACACGGCCTGCAGTCAGGGCGGCCTCTCGGGGCTGCTAGGGCCGGATGGGAGAGCCCACCAGAGGTTCTCTGCTTCTTCCCCAGGGCAGTGAAGGTGGAATCTCAGCCTTCAGCCTCTGTCCTCTCACTTTTCATCAGTTGGGAGAGTACCAGACCTTTTTTTTTGGTGGGCGGGTAGTGACGCTGGGTTGGGGTGGAGGTTTTGTGATTGTCGTTGTGTGACAGAACAGACAGTGGCTTCTAGGTCTGGTCTTCCAGCTCTTATCAGGATTAATTGCCCTGAACACTCAACTGTAGCTGCTGTCCTTCGAGTTCTGTAAGAAGCTGACTTTCGTCTAAGATGCCAGTTTGCAAGGGGATCAGTCTTACAACTTACCTGTCCTGGGATCGAGCCCTGCGTTGGGCTCCCTGCTCAGCGGGGAGTTTCCTGCTCCCTCTCCTCCCTGCTCATGCTCTCTCACTATCTCTCAAATAAATAAGTAAAATCTTAAAAAAGAAAAGGGGTGGGGAGGTTTGACCAGATGCTGGTTAAACATTTTTATCATGTGGTGTTACATACTTGCTGTGGCACCGTGTAGCAATAAGGTTAAGTTGTCCTTGTATTAGTGATACTAAATTTGGTCATTTGTGATTGTAGCCATATCTCTATTATAGAGAGAGCTTGTTTTGCTTTGAGATTAATGAGTGGTGTCTTACGCATGAAGAAATATTTTTCTCTTATAATGGGTGAACGAGAAGTGGAAATAAAAATAATTTAAACAATATAGGCCTTCGAAACCCTCAGATTGTTTTTCAGAGTCCATAGTTTCTCATGGTTCACCTTCCCCTCCAATTTCCCTCAACTCTCTTCTCTCCATCTCCCCTTGTCCTCCATGTTATTTGTTATGCTCCACAAATAAGTATTAGGGAGGGCACGGGTTGCATGGAGCACTGGGTGTGGTGCAAAACCAATGAATACTGTTACGCTGAAAAGAAATAAAAAATTAAAAAAAAAAAACAATATAGGCCTTAAAGAATATGGAAAAGGTTAGCTGTCAGTCTTTTTAAGTGTTGACTTAGCTCCTGTTTCTTGTATTAGAAATCGTGGACTCTCCTCACTGACTCGTTAGAGCTCAGCAACCCAGAGTTCCCTCTTGACAGTTGCCAGGTGCAAAAAAAAAAACAAGTAAAACCTGTGGGCTACTTAGTGCTGTCTTTCAGCAAAGTGTCGAATTGGGCAGGTAGCCTGGAGCAATACCTGTTCCCAGGCATTTGGCTTCTGACTAAGCTGGAATAACAAACCAGATTCTCTCTCCCACGTCGGGGAGAAAATGGACAAAAATATGGAAGAGTAAGACAATATGAGTTCGAGTCTGAGAACATCAGGCAACAAAGGACACTGGTCCCTGAAAGATAGGAAATAAAACTCTACGAATACCTCAGCTTTAATTACTTTGAGAGAGTTTCTAGGCTGCGGCACGAGGCTGGAGAGACAGAACCTGGCAGGTTGCTTAGGTTGAGTTACGGGGAAGTGAAAATCTGGGGAGACTAAAGCAGCTAGGACTCGGGACAGCCAGCCAGAGACAACAGAGTGGCACAAAGAAGGCACTCCAGAGTGCTGGAGAGGGTCTCTCTTGAGTATTCAGTATGGAAGATCCAGAAAGAGATCCAAATCAAACATTGTAGGAGAAAAGAATAATAAACCTGAAAAACATAGAGAAATTATTCAGAATGAAAGAGAGAGGAAACAGATTGAAAACCACAGCATCAGTGAGCTGTGCGGTAAGTTCACGTGGCCTCTTAGCGCAGGTGTTTTACTGAGCCCCAGTCCTGATCCTTGAGAAGAGCTGACCTGGCTGGATGTGGGTCAGAACATTAATGTTAGATTTTGATCTGAAAATAGTTCCATAAGCAAAAATGGTATTTTTTATGATCATCATTAGGTCAATTTTGAAATGTAGCTTAGAAGTAATATTATAAAGTTTTTGTTTTGGTTTCTGGCCCTTCCTAAAATTGGCCCTTGTTAAGATTTCTTAAATGAAATCATTGTATATACCACTTTCACAAAATAACATATGCCATGTGTGTAGATACAAAAATGGTATTGGGTAGAAAACATAATAAATGAAAATCTGTAAATTACTATCCAGGATGAGAAATAGCACATTACCAGGGCGGATGCAGCCCCAGCTTCCCCCTCTTCTTTATTTATTTAATTTTTTTGAAAATTTTATTTATTTGGCAAAGAGAGACAGGGAGAGTGGGAACACAAGCAGTGGGAGTGGAAGAGGGAGAAATAGGCTTCCCACTGAGCAAGGAGGCCAATGTGGGCCTCAATCCAAGGACCCTGGGATCATGACCTGAGCTGAAGGCAGACACTTAACGACTGAGCCACCCAGGTGCCCTGTCCCCCTCATTTAACGTCCCTCCTTTTCCACCAGAGGTGGTGTGTCCATTAGTTCTTTATTGCATTTTTACCACAAATGTATTTACTGTGTTTTGAATGTTTTTGAATAGACGCAGAATTATACTACATGTGTACATCCTGGCTGTGTGTTTTAATGCCTGCCGCTGCTGTACTAGACAGCTGTACGAGCAGAGCAGTTTATGCTTCCTTTCTCTTGCTGGACACTTCAGGTTGCTGCGGCTGTTGGGCATTTATACACAGTACTACAGTGAACATTGTGCATGCCTTTTGATAACATAGACAAGAATATTCCTGGGATATATTTAGAGGGAAATTTTTACTGGGTTACAAATATGCATTTGTTCAGATTTATGAGACTGCAAATCTTTTACAAAATGGGTTTAGCCTAGTTTATGCTCTTACCAGCAGAACGTAACAGTTCCACAGTAATGCTCTCTGTATTTGTATTTCTCTTTTTCATTAAAGGCTTTTTTGTTTTTCGCAGTGGTTCTGTACAGGTTTATACAATAGATAACACCACCGGAGCTATGCTGCTGTCCCATAAACTAGAGCTAACAGCAAAACAGTATCCTGGTGAGTCCTTTTTTTTTTTTTTTTTCTTCTTTAATTTTTGATGTACAGGTAATGGTGTGGATGGGTAGCGACTGGGGATTTTAAATGATGCATGCTCTCGGTCAAATGCAGTTAACATATAACTATTTTGCATGGCCCACGTACTAGGATTTCCTGGTACCTAGAAAGGCTCCCAAGGATCCTCCTTTTATTGTTTGATTAGTCTTCTGTGTCCTCACTAGTTTTAGCCTTTATAGTCTTTCTCTGGACTCTGCTCTAGTCTTTTACCTGATTTCATTGCCTTTGTTATTTTATGCCTTCTAATTCAGTTTATTCATTCAGCAAATACTTATGAAATACCTGCTGTAGGCCGGACATTGTTCTAACTAGTGGATACACATCGGTAAACAAAGCAGTCTTTTTCTGAACTCCGTAGTGAATCTTGAGTAGACCCTCATAGGATTAATTCCAAAGTCTGTCATTGAAAGGCTTTTGACCAAAACTAACAGAAAACCCAAGTTACTGTGGTTTAAATAGGATTTATTTTCTCTGCTAGCAAGAAATCCAAAGGTGAGTTGCTGCGGGCATTTGGTCTTTCCTTCATGGCCTCAGGTAGCTTCTGAGCTGCAAGCATTACTCCTGTGTTTGAGTCAAGAAGAAAGGAGGAAATAGGGCATATTTGGTTTTTTGATCAGGAAAGCAAAAGGTTTCTCAGCAGCAGCCCCACCTGTTCCAGCCATCTTCCACTTCATCTGGTTGGCCGTCTTTATGTCTCATTAGCTACCTTAGGATTTTCCTAGCCTTTATGGTAGAAGTGGGCAAGGGAGAATGAGGATGGAAATAGATGTGGCATTAACCAGCCACTGGCGTCTACCACATGATGGCATGTAGGTCTTTTGCTGAATATTTCTGGCATTATTTCTTAGTTTACTCAGCTCTTACTGTCTCCATACTTTTACCACAGCACCTCTATGTTAAAAGAAATACCAGATGTTCTGTTTATTAGGTAGTTAGGTCTAAATCCTAGTAGCATTTTCAAAAAGTAATACACATAAATGGAAAGAAAAATAGTATTTTATTTTGATTTGTAAACACTGTTTTTTGCTAATAGATTGTCTGTGCTTATTGGACACTGTACAGTTTCTCAGACCTTGGAGTCAGATTGGGAAGTCACCCACATTTCCTGTTCCACATTGATTTTCACATGACACTTTTTCTACAACAACTCCTAAAAAGCCACCTTCACAAAGATGTAACATCATCAAAATAAATGTAGTCACAGCCTAATATAGCTGTGAACTGCCTGAGCTAATAACTTACATTGTGTCTAACAGATACTATATATCATTGTATATATTTGATATTGTCTCTTGAAGATTGTCTCATGGTATCCCGGATACCCTGCACACAGACCTAGGAACTGCAGTCTGACTTAACCAAACCACCTGCAGATTCTTGAGAGAGGGTCTACATATATTGGTCTTTCAAGATACAGCTTAAATGAAATCTCGTTTTATGAACTAGACAGAATGCTCTTCCCTCCTGTGCCTCAGTATATTTTGCATATAATATCTTTCTTATCATTGTTAATGTTTTATTGAACTTACCAACTTACAGGTCTTATTTTCTGCTAGCTTCAGGGTAGGAATGTAGGATTTTTCTATCTCTTCGTACCGAGTGAGTTCAGTTTAATGAGAGGCATAGTTAATGAGCGTGATGAATGCATCAGTATGTTTTTAAACCAGTGACCTTTGCACAATTGTTTTAACAGGCAGTTAGAATCGCATTACTACGTTTTATGAGTTTGATACTATACTTCGTTGTGTATGTGCATTAATAATTGGGACCCTTTTCAGACTGTGTTCTATTCCTCTCCCAAATTTAGATATGCTCCTGTATTAAGAATAATTGCTCATTCGAGGGTATTATGCTAAGTGAAATAAGTCAAAGAAAGACAATTATCATATGCTCTGTCTGATACGAGGAATTTGAGGGGCAGGGCAGGGAAATGCGGGGGATAGGGATGGAAAAAATGAAACGATGGGATTGGGAGGGAGACAAACCATAAGAGACTCTTAATCTCACAAAACAAACAGGGTTGCTGGGGGGTGGGAGGAAGGGATGGGGTGGCTGGGTGATGGACAGTGGGGAGGGTATGTGCTATGGTGAGTTCTGTGAAGTGTATAAGCCTGATGATTCACAGACCTGTACCCCTGGGGCAAATAATACATTATATGTTAATTAAAAATGAAGAAAAAAAAAGAATAATTGCTGTATAACTATACAAAGTTCTCTGGTGTTTGGGTCAGAAAAAAATGTGAAAAAAATTGAGGACACCCATCTAAATCTAATCCAATAATAAAAATTCTCATGAGCCTCAAGGAGGAAGCTAAGGTATCTCATGTCAGAATCTTAGGAAACATTAAATACATAACTGTTAATGTTGACTTAGTATTACCCACATCTATACCAGTATTTTTCCCTATCATGTCTTTTAATACCTCACATCTTCCACTTGAGACCATTTTCTGTGTGCAATACGTCCTTCAGAATTTTCTCTAGTGAAGTTTTTTTATGATGATAAACTTAATTTGGGGGGGATGAGGTGGGGTCTGAAGATGTATTTATTTTGCCCCTGTAATTTAATTATGGTTTAACTTGTTATACCATTTTAGATGGACAGTTACTGTGTGTACATTGAAGTGTTCAGGTACCATCCAGTTTCACTGTTGCTCTTGGGATCTCTGGTCAAGTTGTGTTTCCTTTTCAGGAGATTGAGTTTTTTTCTCTTTGTTTACTTTTAAGATTTTTTCTTTGTCTTTGGGATAGTTTCACTGTGATTTGGAAGGTGGAGACTTTTCTAATTTTTTTTCTTTCTTTTTTTTTTTTTTTTAATCTTGTTTGAGATTCAGACATTCTGGATCTGAGAATTCATATTGTCCAGCTGTTCTGGAAGATACTCAACCATTATCTCTCTGCATATTGCCTCTTCTTTAATCTCTTTCTCTGGAAGTTTAATCAGACTTGCATTGTACTATTTACACGTTTGAGGGGGTTTTTTTTGTTTGTTTAAGATTTTATTTATTTATTTATTTATTTATTTATTTATTTTATTTATTTGACAGAGATCACAAGTAGGCAGAGAGGCAGGCAGAGAGAGAGGGGGAAGCTGGCTCCCTGCTGAGCAGAGAGTCTGATGTGGGGCTCCATCCCAGGACCCTGGGATCGTGACCCGAGCTAAAGGCAGAGGCTGTAACCCCCTGAGCCACTCAGGCGCCCCTGTTTACAGGTTTCTTAACCTGCCTTTTAACATTTTTCATTTTTTTGTTTCTCTGGACTATATTCTAGAAAATTTTTCCCTGTCTTCTGGTACGCTTGTTCTCTCTTCATTTATGTTTAGTATTCTTCATCTGTCCATTTTAATTACTGTATTTTTTATTTCCAGAGTGTTTACTTAGCTTTCTAATTTGTATGCATCCTGCTCCTAGTTTCAGTATTCTTTTTTTTCTTTAGGTATTAAAAAATGGTTTTTATATTCTTTGTTAGTCTCAGTATTTGAAACCTTTCTTTCTGAGTTTGGGTTCTCATGAATTTGTTTATATATTTTGGGATTTTTTTTTTTTTTTTTTTTTACTGAGAGCTTTTTAATTTCCTTCAGATTTATTTGAATGCTTTGTGACCTAAATTGAATTTGAGTTCTTCCGAAGAGGATTTATGTGTGTTTAGGGCAAATTATGTGGGAGTACTACATCAGTCTGGAATCCTTTGCATTATATTCTCTATTTGCAATTTTCTTTGACTCATACAAGTTGCACAAATTACATATGAGAGTGAGGACTGACTTGTTTCAGATTCCCGGGGACTTTATTTTCCATTCATGGAAAAAACATGAAAGTATCCTTTGCTATTTCTTTACCTTACACATGGTAGAGTTTATTTCTCATTCTTCCTTACACCATGAATGTAGCCTTCTGTAGCCCCACCCATTAGGTGGTGTCTTCTCTTAGGTATCCTGCCTTGGTCAAGCTCTGAGCTTGCTCTCCAGTCTGTCACGTACTAGGAGTCATCAGAAATAGAAGTCAGGGCTTCCAGGGTTTGGCAGAAAAATTCAGGGCACAAGCACTTTGTACACTTACTTACCTCTCAGCATTTTTAGTCGTTTGAGGTGTTTAAGTATTCTAAGATTTTTTTTTTTTTTTGACAGAGATCACAAGTAGGCAGAGAGGCAGGTGGGGGGATGGGGGGAGGTGGGAAGCAGGCTTCCCCGCGTAGCAGAGAGCCAATGCGGGGCTTGATCCCAGGACCCCGGGATCCTGACCTGAGCCAAAGGCAGAGGCTCTAACCCACTGAGCCACCCAGGTGCCCCATGGTTTCTTTTTTAATCCATACTTAGTTTTCCTGCCCAGTAGCCAGCAGCCACATGTGGCTACTTTTATTAAACTAATTGGAATTTAAAAACAATAATAACACCTTATTTCTTTAGTTGCATGGTCACGTTTACGTGTTTAGTAGTCACATGTAGCTGGGGGCTGCCTCTTAGACCAAGCAGGTGGGCAGGTGGGAAGTCGTCACCGCAGGAAGTGCCCCCGCTGCGGGGTTCTTGAGGTCATTCTTCCTTCTCAGGCTCGTGGATGCCGTTTCTCCCTTTGGTGACCTGCCAACTCTCACTCCCGGGGTCTTTGTTGTGAGAGAATTCTGCCAGCTTCAGTTTCATAGGCCGTAAACCTGCTTACTACGGGAGGCTTGTAGAAGGACTGAACATCTGAAGCAGGGATGAGTTTGCTCGCTTCCTTCAGGCTGCACCGGCTGAGTTTAACCAGCCACGGTGACTGGAAGTCCTTCCGTCACGCTGCACCTTCCCTTTGGACTCTCCGACTTCATGCTGGTCTCAGACACTTTGTCTTCCTAGAGGATGTCAGTCCCCAACTCCCTTGTCATTGCTGGGGCTCATCCCAGCCTTCCATCCCTGTAATTCCAGCCTTTCTCCCCTCCCTGCTTCCAGCCCTTTACTCTCAGCCCAGGTACTAACCAATCTCACTGTAGGTTTTCCCCTTTCTTTTGGCTTCTGGAACTTTTTCTTTCTTACAAGTTCAGCTCTATAACTAAATGTCTGGGTTACTTTTTTAATATTTTTCTCAGTACGCAGATTATATCACAGTCTCTGTTCATTATAGGTTGCTATCACCTAGATAAATTTCCTGTAGTCCTGACACGTGAAGATTAGGTTTACCACCACTGATATTTTATTATGGATCTCTGCAACTAGATTTTAATATGTGCATAATGCTTGGAAAGTGGGTATGCATATATGTGCATACATATGTATATTTCATGTGGGGTAGTAAGTATACTGTTTATAACCTCCCCTTTTCAGTTAACATTAACATCCTTCTATGATAGTGAAAACCCATGTTTTTTTCCTTGCACATGGAATTGCATTCATTTTTAACTTCAGTTTGATTTTGTGCTTCTTCTTGGTATGTGTGTATGTATGTATTTTAAAATTTTATTTATTAGAACACATGTGCATGAGCTGGGGGGAGAGGCAAATGGGGAGGGAAAGCAGGCTAAGCAGTGAGCCTGATGTGGGGCTCGATCCCAGGACCCTGGGAACATGACCTGAGCTGAAGGCAGAGGCTTCACCGACTGAGCTCCCCCTCCAGTTGCCCCCTTGGTTTGTTTTTAAATTTCTCCCCTGGACAAGTATAAAGTATAGTAATAAGATACGATGTTTCTTATGTATATTCTCATTTATTTTTCATCTGCCTGAATAACCTGGTTATTCACTATGGTGGGGAGTGCCAAAGTGAGGTTGTCTTCTGTAGACAAAAATCTATATGCTTCCCCTTTGTAGTAAATCTTCTGTATTTTATAGCAGAAATGTATTAATACTGCAAATGAAAAGAATTTGAAGCAAAGTGATATGATAGCTGGTTTTGAATTGCTGACAGGAAATACTAGCATGTTTCATTTAACTCTGCAGTAGGGAAACTTGGGTTTTCCTACACAATGAAATTATGGGATTGAAAGAACAATTACTATTATTAAAAGATGATATGAGCACCTGGAGTCCTCAAGCTGGAGTTTACCTACATAATTCTAATAGAAGATTAAACTTCAATTTATTTTAACTTGGATTCCTTGAGTGGGGAGCATGAAGATAATGGTAGGACATTATTTTACATTTTAAAACACCAGCTTTGCAAACTACGTTGACATTTAATGTTGGATTATTCAAGGGAAGCATTATCCACATTTTACAGAAACTGAACTGACCAAAGCCAAAGACTTGTAAAATGACACAATTGTAGTTATCCAGGCTGACAGTGGCCCCAAGTGGTTCTCATTTCTTTTCAGTTTCTTGGCAGCCGAGTTTGTTCTGCTTTAATCAAGGCTAATGTGACCTTCTGTGACCTTAAATGAGTAGGTTCATCTCATTATTTGAAGGAGACATATCTTTCTATTCATTTCAACTTGAAAAAATACAGACTGTAAAAATACTGTTTCTGAAGGAATCATTTATTTTTAACTCTTCTCACAATTTCTTAACAGATATTTGGAACAAAACAGGAGCTGTTAAATTAGTCAAATGGTCCCCTGACAATAGTGTTGTAATAGTGACCTGGGAGAACGGAGGCCTTTCTTTGTGGAGTGTGTTTGGAGCCCAGCTGATTTGTACACTTGGAGGAGATTTTGCGTGAGTGAATAAAGACACGTTTTAGATAAAATAACTAACTCCATTATCTCCCAGAAAATACACATACACAGAAATTTTGTGTCATACAGCTATCCTTCTGCCTTATTTGATGCTTAACCCCAAGGAAATTTGTAAGGTTCAGAATCAGTTTATTCAGAATGTGCTGATTCTCTAAACATCCTTTTAAAACTCATTGTTCATTCCGTAAAATGCATTTGTTTGTTGAATCCCTACTGTATAAATGGTAACATGTTAGATTTGAGGCTAAATCATGTACGGTTTTGCCTTCAAGTAGCTTATAATCTAATAAGAGCAATAAGCCATGTACATGAGTCACTAGTAGGAAATAAAAAATTGCATTATCTTTTTGGGTTGAGATCTCTTCCCACTCCTTATGGTGCTGTAAACCTCAGTCCTGACAAAATGAATACCCCTTCCCAAACTGCATGATTCTGTCGAGAATCATGGACCTAAAAGACTCTGTGTAGATGATATACTTAGATACATCAACCAGCAGTCTCATGTTTCATGCATTATTATCTATTTGTTTTTAAAGGAACAAAATCAATTTGAGTTTTTAAAAACTTAAAGCCAAATATTATATGTAATAGAAGACTTTTTTTTAATTGCACTTCTGTTCTATTTCAGCTATAGGTCTGATGGTACCAAAAAAGATCCCCTTAAGATCAACTCTATGGTAAGTACTTTCTATAAAATATTGGCATAGTGTGGGGCGCCTGGGTGGCTCAGTTGTTGGGCATCCAGCCCTTGATCTCAGCTCGGGTCTTGATCTCTGGGTCTGTGAGTTCAAGCTCTATGGGCTCTATGCTTGGCATGGACCTACTTAAAAAAAGTGTGTGTGTATTTCTATAGTATGAGAAACTTTGATTTTACTTCTGCCTTTTTTTTTTTCCTCTTCTTGGCCTGATAAAAATTACAAAACTATTTTAATTTTAGCAGACTCTTACACAGTTCTTGCTTTGATAAAAGTATGTTTAAAAATCAGGCTGTCCAATTTTCAGTACTTACTTGCTTTTAGTTTTGCTTATATGTCTTGGAAGCCCCTGTCATCTTTGTGAACATAGTGATTATTCAAATCAGGCCTTTGGTTTTCCAGAGCATACTTCAGTTCCTTACGTGACTCACAAGCATCTACTTCTCATGGCCTTTTTTCTTTTAACATGATGTCAACTGCTCATTGGGTATTTTTCCGCGAGGGCTTGGACATTATTTGAGCATATTTTTAAAACTTTCTGTAGATACCTGTCAGGAGAATTGAAGTCAATGTTGTAACAGTATTTTTATTACATATTTTTAAGAGTTTCTGTAGAAAACAGTGAATTATAATCCCTGTCTTTACATAAGAACATTTTCTTATTGTAGCCCTTCTGTGTGTCATCTTTGTGAAGTTAGTGGCTGTGAGGTTTACTCATTGCCCTTCTTCCTTTGCTCCACAGAGGAAGGCATTTTCTGATCTTGGGTTTCTTGAAGAATTAAAACCACCATGGTTGTCTTGGTAGTGGTTCTCAGCACCACCAAGGACCCTACTTGCTGTCTCTCTCCACCTCCATATTTTAAAATAAGTTTTTGAATAAATTATTTCTATAACTGCCCATCAGTGCTTCTGAATGGCATATAACAACCAGTGTTATTAGCCTCACTAAGTTGGTATTTTAATCACAAACTAAGAATGTAAGCATTTCAGTTAACTGTTCAACTTTTATTGTGGGAGAGCAAGACCTCTATGAAGCTTTTGAAATTTAGCAACAATTTATTTTCCCTCTACTATTTTCTTGACCTTTTAGATTGTGAATTACTAACCTTTAAAACAAAAACAAAAAAACTTGGCCCTGGAGAGTTTATTTGAACCTTCTCATTTTATAAAGGTCGACGTATATACCCAGAGAAAACCAAATAACTTAGCCAAGGTTCTGCAGCAGAGTGGGGCCAGGCTGGAATGAAAACCTAGTCTTGTAACTTCCATTGGCGTGTTCTTTGCTCTGTACAAGACTGCATCTGTTTTGGGTGCTTCTTTGTCAAGTTTCAGCTGGGTCACACAGGGTGGGGGGTCTTCCTCTGTAAGGAATTTCTTTGTATTTGAGAGGCAGTTAAATTAATGGAGAAGTTACAGAGAGCAGTGGGCATTTCGTGGGATTTGAGGTGAAGATTGAGATGTAGAATCTGTAGATGCAGACTTGGGAGTCCTTGTGCAGGGGCTGCCCTCTTTACAGGAAGGCCAAGAGGAAAGGGCTCTTTTGCACTTTGATGAGAAATGCCCTCCCGGGGCCTCATATTCCATCTGAGGAAACCAGTAAGTCCAGCAGGGCAGAGGAGGCCTTCCTGACCAAACTCAAGAGCCCCAGAATGGGGCTCTTTGGGTTGACTCTTGTCCTCACCCCTTCTGTAACATTAGTGGCAGGTGACGGCTGGGATGGCCCAGAAGGCAAGATGTCAGCACAGGCACTGTGAGAGAGGAAGCGGGACCTGGGACACAGAGGAAAAGGGGCATCTGAGTGATTGCAGACCGGAAGCCGGGTTGAGCCATCCAGGACCATGATGAGCAGGTTGGGGTGGTGCTGGTGACTTCCAGGCTCCTGCTGTCTGGGCACGTGCTGGCTCTCCCACCAGCTGGCCCAGACACCCCTAGCAAGTGGTTTAATCCTTCAGAACCTCTGATTGCTCACCAAAGTGATGACAACACTGACCTCACCACCACAGACTTGCTTTGCATAAAACACACACACACACACACACACACACACACACACTCACACACACACCCTCTTCCAGGTAGAGAGCTGTGATCGTGGGTTCCACTGGAGAGGGCTGTGTAGCTTCTCATGGTTTCTCCAACCTTTAGAAGTCATTGGTAATGCTGTTGTTGGTTGTTTCAGGATTTGAATATTTGAAGCTAGGAAAGGATAACAAACTTCATTGCCCTGATTTTTCTTCCCGTTCTCTCCAAGAGCTGGGGTGCAGAAGGCTATCACCTCTGGGTGGTCAGCGGCTTTGGTGCTCACAACACCGGAATTGAATCTGATTCCAAGAGTATAGTTAAACAGCCTGGCATTCTGCTGTTTCAGTTTATCAAGAGTGTACTCACTGTAAACCCCTGTATGGTAAGTTTTTTAAATTACAACTGTTTATTTTTAGTGGCCTTCATAGTAGACTATCAGATTCGTCTAAAATTGGTGGACTATTTTCTTTCTTGTTTATTTTTTTAATTTTTTTATTTCTTTTTAATTATAGAAAATTTTACTTCTCAGCAGCTTTTGGTTTTTGTTTTTTTAAATAGGATCACAAGTACTTTGAGGGAAAGCAGTGTTTACAGATTTACTTTGACTAACTTAGTCTTTATTTAACTAGAATTTCCCAAAGTGTGCTCCACAAGGCACTACTTAGAAGAATCGGTAGCATATACACAGGATAAGGGAAAGTTCTCTTGTCATATAAGCGAAATAAAGAAGCTAAGGCTGCAGAAATTTCCTTATTGTAGGACTCCAGGGTCTTTAATATGCCTAATGTGAATCATAAAAACCCAGGAGTTGGTATATGAAAAACAGTGTCCCAAGCTTATTTTATTATGAATTTTTAGAGAATGATTTAAAGAAAGTATGCCTAGAAACCTTCTTTGGGAAACACTGCCCCAAATTGTAATTTAAACTCCTCGTGTTTTATCATTCTGGAACAATATGCTAACATTATATATTGTTAATATGTAATAGTATGTGTTACATGTCAGAAGCATATACCTTAATATCTGCCACCAATCGGTTTTTAAATATTTGGTACAACCAGTTTCTAATTAAAATTTAAATTACAATCCATCGAGAAAGAATATGACAGTAGCCTGGATCTGAGACTTCATGACTCTAGATGAAGAATAAGGATCTGCAGAAAAACAAGAGTACAGTAATTCTTTCTCCCCTCCCCATCCCAAATTATAATTTAAAGGCAGATTTTAGGAGTTTTCTGTCAAGACAACATTTGGGCTACCATGGAAGAATGAGGGGCTTTGGTGCCCTTCTGTCTGATGGAATAGTCAGTGAGTAGAGTGCCCACAGTTAATGCTGACCTTCTCACTGAAAACCAAGGCATCATCACTAAGAGGAGAAATTGTCTTATTTGTCTGAATATTCTCAGAGCCCAGCGCAGTCCTTGGCACTAACCAAGCATTTACCCAAGTGAGTATTGAGTTGTTTTGATCCAGGACCACTGACTGGGGCTACTCTGCCCCCTCCCCATGGTTTAAAAGATCCTTGGCGTCCAGTATCCCCATTCGTAATCCTCCGCTGCTTCTTGCCATGGGCACAGGGCAAACACACACACAGTTTGCCCAGATAATGTTTTCTTGCCATAATGTGAGGTATTTTATGTGAAACTGATTTGTAACCTGTAGATAATGAGTAGTTCTGTTCAGGTTTCAGATGGAAAATCTCTCATAGCATTGCCATTTTGGAGTAATAATGAAGATACTGCTGTAGTCATTGTAAACTGGGTCGCATTTTGGCATCTGTGATAAAACAGACTTTAACAAAAATGTTGATTGCCCTGGGAAGTAATCATTAAACTGTTGCCTGTTCCCTGTAAATGTAACAGTGCACGTGATCATTATGTAGTCTTGTCTGCGAGTAAAATCGACGCTGAGATACATGGTGCATTTCCTATGATAAACCCAAGTCAGGGTATTACTTTTTGTTCCATTATCTGATATCAGGTTTTTTTTATTTGCTTTTCCTCCTTTGTCCTCTGCTTCCTTTCTTCCTCCTGTAGAGTAACCAGGAGCAAGTGCTGCTTCAGGGGGAGGATCGATTGTACTTGAACTGCGGCGAGGCCTCGCAAACGCAGAGTGCCAGGAGTTCCTCAGCACGCTCTGAGCGCAAGGCTGGTGGGGGCAGGAGCCCCTTTGCAGACAGCAGTTTGGAGTCTCAGGGTTTAAGCACTTTGCTTGGACATCGGCATTGGCATGTGGTACAGGTAAGTCTCAGCTGCTCACTGTTGACTCAGTCCTTGGGGGAATAGCACCTGGAGCGGAGTTCCAATTTCTTTGGTTGCTTTAGAAAACTGAGAAACTTTAACCTTTTTGACTGTCACCTCTCTCTGCTGCTTTTCTGTCTTCTTGTGTTCCCTTCTTGCCTCTGACGTAGCACAGATCCCCACCTGCTTTAAGCCTACTAGTCCAAAAACTGCAAGTTTATGCTTTTCCCTCTGAATGAGCACAACTTTGTACTACTTCCGTTGCCCCCCGCCCCGCCCCCGTTTTGGTACAAATTTAGCTCTGTGGATTGGCATAGGCAAAAGTGTAGTGATTTCATGGAAAGTGACAGTGCCAATTAGGACCCCGAGCAGCTGACCTTGTAGTCCTAGTGGGTACATGTTGAGGTTAGCTGCCTGACTTAAAAGCCAAATTGCAGACTTGCACTCACACTCTAGAACCTTATTATTAATAATTTTATTATTACAAAAATCTTATTCCAAGTCACTTACTCATTCTGGTATAACTTTTAAATTAGCAGTTTATTTTAATAATTCTGATAAATTGGCATTTAATGTGGACATCAATTCTGAATTTTGATACCAAATAAAACTAATTTGGGTAAATCAATAAATTGAAGTTTCTTGGGAGAAACTTTCATACACAGTTGCAGAAGTTCTGAGTGTGTCCTCCTTCCCCCGCTGATACCCAAGTGCTGTAGGTATGTCTGAGCCTGCTCTTGCGTTGGTTTATTTTCACTGGGTTCTGTCTCCACAATTCTTGACCCTCTCTTCTCCATTCTGTGCTGTTACTTTATTAGCTCACTCAGCTCCCATGTTATTTTCAGTTGACTTTGAGTGGAGATGATGAGAGACACGAATGGTCAGTATGTGAAACGTTGAAGGAGGAGTGTCTCTCGCACTGACATGTGGTATACACCCAAAGAAAACGTATCTGACATTAATAAATTCATAAAATCAAACTGTGCATACCATTTGATAAGTAGTAACAGTTATGAAATAAAACTGCATCGGCTGCCTCCTTGACTAAAATTTTCCACTGCTCCCTTCTCTCCTATAGCCATTCCTCTGCTATTTTCATTTCCCCATACTTTGAACTATTCATTCTACACTGACCTAGCATCAATGCCAGTTCTGCCTAGCCAGGTCTGTGTTGCCAGAGCCAAGTAGAGCAGAGGATCAAAGAAGGTAGGTCTGGAACTCAAAAATCCATCAGGCAATAACAAAAATCTAATTTCCTTCCAGCTCAAAAATTCCGTGATTCTGTGATTCTTAGCCATCGCTGAAGTATCCTGTACTAGTAGCGTATCACACTGAGTTTACCACCTTAGACAAAGTAGGTACGAGCAAGATTCTTTCGTGATTTTGTTCTTTAGATATTGGAACTATTCAGAAGGATGAACTTGTTTGACTCGAGCTTAACCTAGTTTTTTTCCTTTTCCTAAAACTAATAAAAATAATGTCAGAGCTGTATTCCCAAAACAGTTAAGTTACAATAGACTCATAGAATTTTTGGAGCTGGAAGGACCATAGAGATCATGTAGTCCAACTGGATTTGTTACATTGAGGAAACTGAGGCTCAGAGAAGTTAGGTGACTTGCCCAAGGGCACATAGGAGAGCAGTGTCCTGCTTAAGGAGTGTCAGACTTATCCTTACTATAAGTAAAGTAACAGTCTAACCTGTTGTAAGACTTCTAGGTATTACGTGTTGAATCATGTAATGTACTGTTGACCTTGAGCTAAGACCTAGAATGTGCCCATTGAAATAGACAGCGTTTCATTATAGTTTGCCCTGTACTTGGTTTGCTGGCACGCCAACCAAATGCATCAGTGCAGCATCGTGGGAGTGTTTTGGTTTGGTGGTTTACAGTGTCCCTGCAATGCTAATGCTTTACCTTCTGGGCCTTAACCATTAGTAATGGTTCCCTGAAGTAACATGGGTGCCTGTTTCATTTCTCCTTCAACATACACTCTTGTCTGGGATAAATGCCCACATCCTCCATCAAAGTGACTTTGTTTACACAATTTATATTTTCTATTCTTACACAGCTTAGAGTTCATCAAATAAGCTCCAACTAATTCTGCTTCTCTTGTCCGTTCCTCATCTAGACAACAGGATTTTTCGTTCGTTTAGACCTTCTACCTTACACTTACTAGGTTCCTGATCAGAAGATTCTATGTTAAATATGTTTCTTTCCTTTAACTTAATACATATACGTACTTGTCAGCAGCAGGGTTGGTAGCTGCTGGTAGAAGTGGTGCTGTGTGTGTGTGTGTGTGTGTGTGTGTGTGTGTGTTTAATTTAGTTTCCTAGCTACAGATTTTAAAAATTTCGAAAGTAGTTTGTTGCCAAGCAGAGCACAAATAATGTGGAATTAAAACAACACCCTCATGGTTTTAGGGTGCACTCTTGCTTGGACTGCCATTTAACACTCAGAACTTCGTATGATACAAACATTTCTTTCTGAAAGGTGCATGAATCATTATCATCCACAGTTAGGAAATGTTGGTTTTGTAGTTAAACTGGCTAACCATTTGGAAAAATATAGGCTTACAAAATATGCTAAGGCTGTCAACAGAGGATTGTAAAGGCTCTTTCATTTATAAATGATTGGCAGGCCTTCTGAGGATCGTCTCAGATGCATCGGATGCGGGGTTTGGCACAGGGCAGGTGTACTGGGAGAGTGGCTCTCACAATCTCACAGCGACAGACAAAAGCAGTCTGTCTAGGTAGGAGACAGGGTTTTAGCAAAATGACTTGAAGGAGGAAAAAAGGTAGATTGAGGTTTTTTAAGAGGCTGAGGAATCCTAAGATGTTGAGAATGGAGATTCTGTACGTTAGCACTCAGGCTCCTAGTGGCGTGGCGTGGTGTGATTTTTGTGCACTGAGTATGCAGTCCTGGCCTGACGTCTTCATGATTCATTAGCTGCTTCTTGCCTTACTTCTGCCATTTCCTGTTCTCAGTGTAAGGGGTAGAGCTCAAAGCTCAGGTGACACGTAGATCCATAAATGTGACCTCCTAGGGAACATGAATGTTTCATTTTCACTTTTCATTTCATAGCATCTTCAGACACAACTGTATCAGAAGTAAAGCTTCGTTTTAAACTTAAACTCAAGCTTTGAAAATAAATCATTTTAAGTTTGTGGCACTTCCTACATTTGGGGGGTTAAAAGAATAAAAAACTTTTTTTTTCTACAGATACTCATTAGAGTGTAGACCGTCTGATAAAACTTTACCTTGGTGCTATGCTGAGGAACCCTTCAAGTTGGAATCCTCATTGGCATTGCGATCCCAGCTCACACTTTTCCCAGCCCCATATTTCTTAAATACTTAGGAAGCACCAGGGTCAGAGGAAGCATTCTGGATGGCTGGCTCAGTTACACTCCAGGGACATCCTTCTTCAAGTGACTATTTTGATTTTCTTCATCCAAACAGAGAATTCACTTAACAGGCTCACACAAAACTACTTTGAGCTCTTTTATCACCGCCTGATCATTCCCTCAGATTACCAGGCTTCTGAACCGACGCCACCCATCCCGGGACTTTGGTAACTGGCCTGTGTGATGCAGTGAATCTGTTGATAGGAGTTAAGCCTTTTTCAAGCACATATCATGGCACCGTTACCCTTAATTCTGCAAGGTGGGGTTCTACAAACTGGCACTAGGATTGAGAACTAATAACAGAACCAAAAGCTGTTACTTTATTTGGATTTTAGGCTGACTTACTAGATAATAAGTAAAGTCTAACAGATAGCTTTATGAGTGAATTTTATCAAGGTTAATACAGATGTTTTTAGCATATTACTTTTAACTCGATTTTAGTTTTGTCTTCACATTACACAAAGAATCTTATTGGATTTGATTGCGTTGTACTGGATTTTTAATTTGGCTTTCCTTTTTAAAAAATATGTAATATGTGGAGTACAATGAAAATGAATTCGAATAAATTGAGGTTCTTTTATTCCAGGAATAGAAGTTTTTTCCTTGTTCTCTCTGTTGTTCTGATAAGTTTCATGCCATACTCACCGTGTGCTCATAAAAACTGCTTAATCAGTAGGCTAGAGGAGAAGTCAGTCTCAGTAAAGGTAGAATTTTATCTATGTTGATATCTTATGGAAGAATGTTTCAACTTAAAATTCTTGTTGGGTGATACAAAGATACCATGTGCAGAGATGTAAGACATGACACAGGAGGAAGGTATATTTCCTACTTCCATTGCAGATTAAGAGTTACTATCTGTAATTCAAAGTTGTTACAGATGAATAGGTTAAATACCTCCGTTAAAAAGAGTAGCTTAGACAGATGCTTACCTGTGTATGGATGTTTAGAGAGAGAGTAAAGACGAACCAATAGTTACCCCTGGAGAAATGGATAGAACAGAATTTCATTTTTTATTTTGTACATTTTTATATTGCTTAAATTTTATAAGCAGTGTTTTGCTATTTTGATCAGAAGATATAAAAGAAATAAAAATACCTCCATTAAAAAGCAAAAACAAAGCGCTTGCTGAGGCCCTCAAACTCTTCATTTCTACAGTTCCTGCTTGCCCTCGTGGCTGGTTCTCTCAGTCTGTTTATATTGCATATTCAGTATTTAAAATAAACAAAAACAGTGTAGAGAAAAAGCAATGTAGGAAAGCCTGATCTAGCCACTCAAAATGAAATGGTGAAGACAGGAGATGTGACATATGGACTGGTATTTCAACAGTAAATTCCAAATACTCTGCTAGTAATACCCACTATTCGGGAACACTTTAAACGTTGTACAGGAAAGTGAATATTATATTGTGATGTTAATGCTTTAAGTGCTTTAAGTTTAAATATGTTTCAGGAGTCTTACCAAACTGATGTATTATTTTCTGTAGATTTCCAACACCTATCTAGAGAGCAATTGGCCTATACGGGTGAGTTACTTGTTATTTTGTTGGGGTTAATTTTTATTGGATAGTATTTGCTGCAGGAGGCATTCTGGGAATTGAGCCTTTTTTCAGTGGGCGTGTTGATAATAAAATTTTGATACTTGATCCCTTGTACATTGTTAACGTATTAGCATCAGTAATTTGGTGAAATGTAACTTGTGTATAAATATTCAGATTTTTAAATTTAGCACTTTCATTTAATTCACTTAGCAAACATTTATTAACAGTCTATTTGTGTGACACAATAATGCTAATAAGTTCTTTATAAATTTAAGTATATACATTTGCAAGGAAGAGTTCTTAATTTTTTCTTTGAATTAGTTTTCAGCTATTGATAAACTTGGACAGAATATTGCTGTGGTTGGCAAGTTTGGTTTTGCACATTACTCTTTACTCACCAAAAAATGGAAACTTTTTGGAAACATTACCCAGGTTAGTCTTTTTGAAATTAAAAACTGATTTCTCAGAGTATAAGTGAACTAACATATGAAATAACTCTAAAGTAAGCCACTAGTCATTAAAAAAATAATACCAAATATTGAAAAATGGTGTTGGATTACATCTAAGGTCAGTTCTAATGAAGTACTTGATATTTGATAAAGGATTTTGTATTGACATAGTTGGTTTATTTTTAACTGGAGGATTTACACTTCCATGTTGAGTTCATCAGATGTCAGAATCAACTTCCACTGAATATGAGATCATTTCCTGTTTGTTTGTATATGATGTGAAGTTGTGGGAAGCACAGAAACATGTGCAGTTGGATTTTGCAAGAATCAAATAGGAAAAGACAAGGATTAAGGTGTAGTGGGAGCCTGCGGGGCTTCAGGGGCCTCACCGACCTTCAACACCCAGAGAGGGCACAGTTGTTACCCTTTTATAAGAGAGAAACCAGGATTCAGAGTCAAGCAGCTGATAAGTTGTAAAGCAGGATTTTAAACCAAAGTCTGTTGAATAAGGGAATAATGCTGCTACACGGTACCCAATTATTGATAGACATGTTTATTTTTTCAAAATAGAATATAAATTATTATTCATAAAGGCCTAGAGTGATACTTAATTGGGAGGGGGATAAAGAATAGAGCAGAAATAATTTAAGCTCTCATTGTTTGCTTAGGAATATTTTATAAGTGTGTTACTTATTGTAATTTCTGGCAGCATATAAATGAAGGTAAATATGTTTTTTAAATTATCTTTTAAGGAGCAAAATATGATTGTGACAGGTGGCTTAGCCTGGTGGAATGATTTTATTGTCCTGGCATGTTATAACATAAGTGACCGTCAAGAAGAGGTAAGGCTTGTTTTCTCTCAGAGATAACAGATTTTTATACTTTAAAGATGTTAAGCACTATCTGGTTTAAATAAATATAATTTTTGGGAAATGAATATAGCATTTTATTTTTTAATTAAGAATTTGGCATTTGGCTTTTTTACCTAAATTAGACCCTCATATCAGGTTACTGCTTTTAAGAAGGTTTTTTTTAAGGGATAATCAGAACTTCTGAGACAACTTTTTCTAAGGATTTTTAGCTGTTAGACATTGTCTGTGAAGTTTGTAAATAATGCAGGTTGTTCAAAGCAAAGATGTTCCTAAGGATGGCTACCCTTAGAGATTTATTAATTTCTTGGTTTGTATGTTTATGTTTTCAGAAAGTGCTGGTCTATTTTTATCAGGTCTGGATATGCAGGTCTTGAGAAGGAGTACCTCATAATTGTACATTCCCAATTTTAGTTTCTTCATCTTTTGGTTATTTGTAGAATGAGGCTACCCTGTGAAATTATAAAATTTATCCATTTATTGGGAAAGCTCAGATTGATCTTTAAACTTCTCTTACTTGAAAGGAAGTCCGTAGATAAAAAAACAGCATGTCTAAAGTATTTAGCTGCCTGAGGTGTAGGTGTCTTGTTTTTACAGTTTTCTTTCTTTGTTCTTCAGCTCAGAGTCTACCTGCGCACATCAAACCTGGACAACGCCTTCGCCCACGTCACCAGAGCACAAGCGGAAACACTGCTGCTTAGTGTCTTCCGGGACGTGGTGGTAGTGTTCAGAGCAGACTGTTCCATCTGCCTGTACAGCATTGAAAGGAAGTCTGATGGGTAAGTGCGTGGCGTGCGACTGTCACTTTTTGCTTCTGTATATTGTGCTTCCTCGTCGTTTTTATTTTCTCAAAAGTTATCCTATGTTTAGTTTCCTTTGTTTCAGAAGTGAAAAAAGTAAACTTTGTATTTAGTGATGTCCACGCAGTTATTTTTAGCTACCTAAATAAATCGTTTGCACCAACCTCTTCAGCTGCTCTTACTGCACTTGTTTGGGGGGAAAACCTGGTTTGGGATGCGGTAACTTAGGTACTAATTTTTTTCACAGCCTTGAAAACAAGTGGTGACTAACTATCCTAATGTTCTGGACACTTGGGGAAATTTGAAGGCGTTCACTGGCCTTCGGCCCTGGGCAATGTGTCCTTAGCAGACTCTCTTGATTCCCTCTGAGCGAGGTGGCTGTGGTCTGCTCGGGAGGGCCTGGCGGCCCCGGTGCTGCTATGTGCTGCCTGCATTCTCCTGAGTGGCGGGTCAGCTTGTAGCATTTAGACCACGCCTCTTGAGTTTTATTTTGCTCTTGTGATGTGTGTGTGTGTGTACGTGTGTGTAAATAGCCCTGAAGTGTGTATTTGCTGAAATAGCTTAGTGATTAAGGAATACTGTAAAGATAGATATTAAGAAATTTTACTAGCCTCTCATGGAAACCATGTCCTTTCTCAACCAACTTAACTATTCCTATTTTTTCCTTCCTAGTTTCCTTTCTTAGTTTTCCTAGGTTTTTTTCTTCCCTTCTACATTGTATTGCCTTTCTTTCTCCCTTATTTCCGTTTGTATTCTCTGGATATCTCAACCTCACCAGTCTACTGCTGGAAGGATACCTGAAGCAGAGGGAATAATGGGTAGAAGGCATCTGGATCCTCCAAACGCATGAAATTTATACTGTTCGTAGTGGAAAAGAAAGAAAAACAAAAAAACTTGCTGGCCTTGATGTTGAGGTGTGTGGTATCTTTCTGTCTCTTTTTTTTTTTTTTGCAGTCCGAGTACTACTGCCGGCGTTCAAGTTCTTCAAGAAGTGTCCATGTCACGCTACATTCCTCACCCTTTCCTGGTAGTTTCAGTCACTCTCACTTCCGTGAGCACAGAGAATGGAATCACCCTGAAGATGCCACAGCAGGTACCCTACCGTTATCGGGGCTCTGGAGAGCTTCATCTCAGTTTTTAGCATTTTAAGTTGCTACGGGAACCATTTGTTCAGCAAATATCAAGTGTCTAAAATGTGCTTTGCATGAAGATGCTGGGCTACAGTGGCAAACTAAACAAACTTGGTTTCTGCCCAGACAATAAAGAAATAATTATATGCATAAATAGTTAAAATTGGGATGTGTGTGCCAGAAAGCCGTATAGGTCACTCGGAGTGTAGAATGAACACCTGGAATAGTCCAACAGTCAGAAATTTCTGTACCATTTAAGTGACAGCCCGAAGATAGGTGGTCACCTGTGTAAAGAGCGGGAATCTCAGATCAGTGGGAACAGTAGTGCAGAGGCCTATCAGTAAGAGAGAAAAATGGAAGAACTTCAGGGTGATTGGACTTTATCTTAAAGTCTAAAGTGCTTTAAGCTGGGTATTACTAGATCTCAGCTTTGTAATGTCTAGTCTAACTATGAGAGGGAAAATGAACCAGAGTAGGACAAAATTGGATTTAGGGAAGGTAACTGGGAGGCCACTGTAATAATCTGAATAAAGGGTGTTAGTGACCCTAAACTTGGCAGTGAAAGAGAAGGAAAAAAGTGGAATACTGAATATAAAATATAGAGAACTCTATGATTAGTCAACTAAACTATAAGGAAAGAAAATAATGCTGTAGTTTCTGATTAAACCCACGAAGTTGTGTAACTTCCTATTCCAAGGCTCCTTCTGTTACACAGATGGTTTCCAAGTTTCGTGTCAGTGTGGAACCTGTTTTCAAAGGATAACTATGTGGATTTATAACTATGTAGATTTATCTATCATTTCTATCTTCCCAGTCTGTCTTTTACTTCCTATTAAGGCACTTCCACTCATCTTCAAAATCTAGATCCCATTTCCTCTGTAAAGTATGTTTCATGGTAGCCAGAGAATCACAGATGATAAAGTTCTGTTTGACAAAAGAATTGTAGCTAGAAGATGTGGAAGGAAGGTAAGATTACAGAATCACCATTTTGCTGCCCCTAAGGAAATAACTGAGTCAGAAAGTGATCATGATCGGATGAAGCCATCACATGAAAGGTTGGTGGGGAACTTAACAGTGAGGGGATCAGGTGGCCAGATCTAAGCCTTATTAATCAATACTAGCATTACTACAAGTAGGAAAACCAGGTGTGGAATGCTTCCTGGGGAAATGCATCCTAGAGTTCACATGAGGAATTACTGCCCAAAATACTGAATCTGAATTAAATCAAGCTTCTAGAGTCAAGTTTCATTCATAGGAAATACAGGGGTAGAGGTTTTGTTTAACACCACAAGGAAGCACAATGTAGAACCTTCTGTAGGACAGCTACAAGTCAGTAATGTGGCGGGGTTGGGGATGGTAAGGGGAGACTCTTCTAAATAATTCTTTAGAGCCATACCAACCAAATGCAGTGCTCAAGTCCCATTTGTATCCTGATTCAAACTGGCTATAAAAAGACACTATTAAAGCACTTAGAGATACTCAGTATGCATTGAGAGCTGACATTAAGGAATAATTGTAGATTTTGTTAGATGTGATATTGGTATTGTGATTATACAAGCAAATATCCACGTACTTCAGAGTTGCACAGTATAGGGGTAAAACGGCACGATATCGCCCTTTAAAATACTTTGGTGTAGGGGCACCCGGCTTGCTCAGTTGGTGGGGCAGGTGATTCTTGATCTCAGGGTTGTGAGTTCAATCCCCACCTTGGGTGTAGAGATTATTTAAAAAATAAAATATTTAAAAATAAAATAAAATACTTGAGCAAAATAAATGAAAAAAGGGTAGATGGAGCAAATGTGGCAAAATCTTGAATAATTGTGAATTTGTATGATCAGAATATGGGGGTTCATTGTATTATTCTTTATACTTTGACGTTTTCTCTCTCATGTTTGAAGTTTTCATATTAGGGGAAATAAAGGGACTCCCTGTATATCCCAGATACAGTGGGCAGTCAGTGGCACCAGTAGTACTGGGTAGCTCATTTTAAGCAAGGCTTTCCGGCAGACACATGAAAAATGTGTCTCATTGTCACTCATTATCCGGGAAATGCAAATCAAAACTGCAGTGAGATGTCACCTCACACCTGTCAGAATGGCTAAAATAAAAAACACAAGAAACAAGCATTGGCAAAAATGGGGAGAAAAAGGAACCCTCATGCAGTGGTGGTGGGAATGCAAGCTGGTGCAGCCATGGGGGAAAACAGCATGGAGGTGCTTCAAAGTTAAAAATAGAGCTACCCTGTGATCCAGTGATCACACTACTGGGTATTTACGCCCCAAAATACAAAAACACTAATTCAGAGGAATACATGCACCCCTATATTTATTGCAACATTATTTACAATTGCCAAATTATGGAAGCAGCCCAGGTGTCTATTGGTAGACGAATGGATGAAGATGTGGTATATATACACTATGGAGTATTACTCAGCCATAAAAGGGGCGCCTGGATGTCTCAGTCAATTAAGCGTCTGCTTTCCACTCAGGTCATGATCCTGAGGTCCTGGGATCCAGTTCCCTGTCAGACTTCCTGTTCAACGGGAGTCGGCCTCTCGTCCTCTGTCTGCCTCACCCCACCTCATGCTCACAAGCACTCTCTCTCTCAAATATAAAATCTTTAAAAATACATAAAAAGAATGAAATCTTGTCATTTGCAATGACATAGAAGAATCTAGAGAGTATAATGCTAAGTGAAATAAGAGAAAGGCAAATACCGTATGATTTTACTCATGTGTGGAATTTAAGAAACCGAACAAATGAGCAAAGGAAAAAGATAAAACAAGAAACGGACTCTCAACTGTAGAGAACAAACTGATGGTTACCAGAAGGGAGGTAGATAGGTGGGGGGGGGGGGTAGGGATCGAGGAATGCCCTCGTGATGAGCGTTGGTGTTGTATGGAAATACTGAATCACTGTATTATACACCACCTGAAACTAATATGACACTGCATGTTAAGTATACTGGAATTTAAAAAGTTAAAAAAAAAAGAGCGCCTTTCACGGAGGAGAGATCTAATGTGGTAAAGAGCAGATGAAGTGAGTTGACTGTGAAGAGTGACAGTCTGACGTCTTCCTTGCCACTTTGGATGCCTTTTATTTCTTTTTGTTGTCGGACTGCTGAGCCTAGGACTTCGATAATACTCAGTGTAGAAAACCTGAAAAACTCCATTAAAAAATAGCTAGAACTGATACAGGAATTCAGCAAAGGCACAGGATATGAAGTCAGTGTAGAGAAAGCTGTTGAATTTCTATACACCACTAATGAAGCAGCACAGAGAGAAGTCGGTCCCATTTACTGTAGCCCCCAACCATAAGATACCTCGGAATACCTAACTAAAGAGCTGAAAGGTGTGTATGCTGAAAACTATAGAACATTTATGAAAGAAACTGAAGAGGACACAAAGAAATGGAAAAACATTCCATGCTCTTGGATTGGAAGAACAAATATTGTTTAAAAGACTCTGTACTACTCAAGGCAACCTACGCATAAAGTGCAGTCCCTGTCAAAATACCACCAGCATTTTTCACAGAGCTGGAGTGAATGACTCTAGAAATCGTGTGGAACCAGGAAAAAAAGCCCGAATAGCCAGAGCAATGTTTAAGATGCAGAGCAAAGCAGGAGACATCATGATTCCTGACGTGAAGCTACATTACAAAGCTGTGCTCATCAAGACAGTACGGTACTGGCACAAAAGCAGACACACAGCTCACTGGAACAGAATAGAGAGGCCAGAAATGGACCCTCAGCTCTGGTCAACTAACATTTGACAAAGTGGAAAAGAATATCCAGTGGAAAAAAGTCTCTTCAACAAATGATTCTGGGAAAATTGGACAGCCACATTCAGAAGACTGAAACTAGACCATCTTCTCACACCATACGCAAGAATAAACTCAAAATGGATGAAAGACCTAAATGTGAAACCATCAAAATCCTAGAGGAGAAAAGCAGGCGGCAACCTCTGTAAGCTCGGGTGCAGCGGCTTCTTGCTAGACTAGTCTCTGGAGGCAAGGGAAATGAAAGCAAGAATGAACTATTGGGACCTCATTAAGATAAAAAGCTACTGCACAGCGAAGGAGACAGCCAACAAAACTGAAAGGCGACCTACGGAATGGGAGAATATATTTGCAAACGACATATCAGATAAGGGGTTAGTATCCAAAGCTGGATGTTTTATACAACTAACGAATCATTGAACACTACATCAGAAACTAATGATGTACTATACAGTGACTAACTGAACATTATAAAAAAATATCTATAAAGAACTTATCCAACTCAGTACCCAAAAAACAAATAATCCAGGTAAGAAGTGGACAGAAGGTATGAAGAGACACTTTTCCAAAGAAGACATCCAGATGGCTAACAGACAGGTGAAAAGATGCTCAACAGCACTCATCACCAGGGAAACGCAAATCAAATCCACAGTGAGATACCACCTCACACTTGTCAGAACGGCTGAAATTAACAACACATGATACAACAGATGTTGGTGAGGATGTGGAGAAAGGGGAACCCTCTTACGCTGCTGATGGGAATGCAAGCTGGTGCAGAGTGCAGCCACTCTGGAAGACAGTTCGGAGGTTCCTCAAAAAGTTAAAAATAGACATAGCAAATGCACTTCTATGACCCAATAATTGGACTACTAGGTTTTTATCCAAAGGATACAAACATACAGATTCAAAGGAGCACACACATCCCAGTGTTTATAGCAGCATTATCAACAATAGCCAAAGCACAGAAAGAGCCCAGATGGCCATCAATTGATAAATGGATAAAGAAGAGGTGGGGTGTGCATACACACCCATACACTTCATCCACACGCGTGTGTCATGGAGTGTTACTCGGCCATCAGAAAGAATGAAATCTTGCCATTTGTACCAGCATGGATGGAACTAGAGGTGGTTATGCTAAGTAAAATAACTCAGAGAAAGACAAATACAATTTCACTCATACATGGAATTTAAGAAAACAGATGAACACAGGGAAAGGGTAGGAAAAATAAAAACAGAGGGAGGCAAACCATAGGAGACTCTTAAATACAGAGAACACACTGAGGGAGGCTGGGGTAATCGGGTGACGAGCATTAAGGAGGACACTTACAGTGAGCACCGGGTCTGATATATAAGTGATGAATCACTAAATTCTACTCCTGAAGCCAGAACTACACTACGTGTTAACTAGCTTGAATTTAAATTTAAGAAAAAAAAAAGTGAGTTGAAATGTAATAGGAAATAGATTGATTACATCTTGCACAGAGGGAAGACCAGGATTGCTACAGCAAGACAAGTCTTGATTTCATATTAAGAATTTTAAAAACCCTAACAGTAAAAATTGTTTATCAGTAAGAGAGCCTCCCTCATAAGACTGGGCTCCTTGTCTCTGCAACTCATAAGTTTAAGAGTCATCTACTAAGGATATTTTTAGAGTAAGAGAAGGTGTGTTTGATTCTTTCAAATGTGGCATTTCGGGGATACAGGTAGTCCCTGCTTTAATGTTAAGTTTCTGGAAAGCTCATTAAACTTGCTGGAAAGTGCTGTTGCACTCCCCTGTTCTTCGTGCTGTAATAGTTGTGGTAAGTGTTGAATGCATGAATACAGCTGAAGGAAAGAGAAGTGGGTTTGTTTGTGTAATAAGATCATGTCAAATGTAGTGAAATTCACCATTTTCATACTTCCCAGGGGTCAGTATGGACAGGAGTCCTATAGCGGTGACTTGCAGTAGCTTCTCGGAAAGTCTTTGCAAAGTGCCACTTTCTCTGTGCCAGTCTGTGGGCTCTCTGGTCTGACTCTTGGTTTGTGTGTTCATTTCTCCTCTGCCCTCTGCCATCCAGCTCTTAGAATAGTGCGCACCTTATAATTTCCATTTTTCCTTCTCCTACCTTGAAGTTTGTGTTGTGGAGAGGTAATCATATCTTTAGTTTTCGTGTCATTACATGCAAAATGGGGACCCAAAGATTTCTTTCCAAGTAAAGTTCTTGAGCTTTGTGACAGTTGCTTGGAGATTTTGTTATTTTTATTATTTTTTATTTCTCTTCTTTGTAAATTAATGTAAGTTATTACACTGTACCTACCTGGGTATGGCCTACCACCAAAATGAATGACAAAATCCATGAATCTTCTGGACCCTCTTGTCATTTCTTCTCCACGGTCCCAGTAATGTCTGGCAGGCAGGACTAAGTGTTTTGTGTAACTGTTTTTGCAAATAGAATATGTAGGGTAGCTACTGTTTTCCTGACTGAACCCTAAATAATAACAGCAGCTTAAATTCAGCCTGCCAGCAAGCCTCGCTGGGACGCCATCCCGTAGCTTCGGAGTTGTCACCCTTTCCTTCCTGAAATGTTTTCCTTCTTGCTTTATGTGACACTGTGCTCTCCTGGTGCCCTGCTCGCCTCCTCCCCGGCATACTTCGCTTCAGAAAGTTCATCTGACTCCTTCAGTTGACCAGCCACGCTTAGATTCTGGTGTGTTCGTCCGTACTTCAGTCATCGCTCACATTTTTATTCGCAAGTCTTAAGATTCCTTCAGATTTAATGGTCAATGAAATGAAACTGCTCGGTTTCCCCTTCCTTAACTTCTGCTTGTAACTTCTACCCGTGGTAACCTCACCTCCTCTGGCACCCACCGAGGTGCATCCCCTGAAATCCTGCTAGTTTACTTCTCTTTTCCTGCCTTTCATGCCTAAGGTTGTTTTTTGTTTTTTGTTTTGTTTCTGTTTCTTTACAAGTGGAAAAAGACTTCATGTCTGAGATTTGCTTTAGAACAAAGCTTTTCAACTTCCAGCCAGGTGAGAGGGCATAATGGGCAGTCACGTGTTAGGCTCTCTACTTTGGGATTGGATTGAAATTTTCCATAGCAAAAGGACAGACTGTTTCATTCATTCCTGACGTCAACACCTGTAATGTCTGTCTCTCCTGAGTAAGCCATCCTGAATAACCCAGAATTTTTAATAACTCCCTTATTCAAGAATTGTAAGTAGTAGCTTATTTCCTGTCTTTTGTTTGTTTTTTAATCTGGCTTTCCAAGCCTTCCTTGGAAGTCCCATTATCATCCAGCATTTTTCTCATGATATTCCTAATCTAGTCAGGTTTTTCTCACTTTCCCTAAAGAAATGTTCCATCTCAGTGTCATTCACAGCGGTGGTGTTCAGCTGGAGAGCCGACCCTTTTCCTTCCTCCCATGTGTCGTCCTCGTCCTTCAAGGCCCGCCTCACCCTGTAAGCCTTCTCTAGCTATGTCAGGTCGGTCACCGAACTGATCTCTCATTACTGCGAACTTCTGAAGCTCTCCTAGTTATGTCAGGAAAATTCAGCTCTGCCCTGACTCAGGTTCACTTGCGTTATTCATTAGTTGCATTGTGGTAAAGCTTGTTACACGCGAGCCAGAAAGCAGCTTGTAGTCCACATCACCCCACAGAACGGCTGTATACGGCTGTACACGGTGCACACTCGGGAGACGGTGGTGGTGGTTTCACCTGTAAACCATACAGAGTTGGGGGGAGATGCCGAAAACATCTACATTAGCTGGAGTCCAATTTTTCTTTCAGGCTCGTGATGCAGAGAGCATCATGCTGAATCTCGCAGGACAGCTCATCATGATGCAGAGGGACAGATCCGGCCCTCAGATCCGGGAGAAGGACAGTAACCCCAACCAGAGGAAACTCGTGAGTAAAATGCAAGTCCTGTAGAGCAACAGAGATGAAGGAATAAAAGAACTTAAGAGGAGAGTATCGTCTTGTGACTTGGAAACTGGGAGAGTATATAATTTTAGTCTTTAATCCTCCAGGTGTAAGACTGTTTGTGAATAAGAACATCCCGGAGCAATAATATGTTCCATACCCCAGGCGCTCCTGCTGAGGCATTCTTGTTTGCTAATTCTAATTGGAAAGTAGCATAAATTGGTGAAGTCTGTGGGGTTTCTTTGGTTTTGTTTTGTCTTGTTTTTAGATTTAAATACACATACTTTGAAAGGCAGGGTACTGTTCTGGATTCTGTTTCTAGATAGAGTCTCCTGATTTTCCCAAAAGAAGTTGTGCTATCATTTGAAAGACTTAAGAAATTAATGCCAAGGAACTTGAGAGTGTACAAATTTAATAGGGGAAAAAATGGATTCTTGTCTCTGCTTCTCCAGCTGCCATTCTGCCCTCCTGTCGTCCTCGCCCAGTCTGTTGAGAATGTCTGGACTACGTGTCGCGCAAATAAACAGAAGCGTCACCTCCTGGAGGCCCTCTGGCTGAGCTGCGGAGGCGCAGGGATGAAAGTGTGGCTCCCGCTCTTCCCCAGGGATCACCGCAAGCCCCATTCCTTCTTGTCCCAGCGGATCATGCTGCCTTTTCACATCAATATCTACCCACTGGCTGTTCTGTTTGAAGACGCGTTAGTCCTCGGTGCTGTCAATGACACTTTGCTCTATGATTCCTTGTACACTCGGAGCAGCGCTAGGGAGCAGCTGGAGGTGCTCTTCCCGTACTGTGTTGTGGAGAGAACCTCTCAGATCTACCTCCACCACATTCTGCGGCAGCTGCTGGTCAGGAACCTTGGGGAGCAGGCCTTGCTCTTAGCCCAGTCGTGCGCCGCTTTACCTTACTTCCCTCATGTGCTGGAGCTCATGCTCCACGAAGTGCTGGAAGAAGAAGCTACCTCACGGGAGCCCATCCCCGACCCTCTGCTTCCCACTGTGGCCAAGTTCATCACCGAATTCCCCCTCTTCCTGCAGACAGTCGTTCATTGTGCCAGGAAGACTGAATACGCCCTGTGGAATTACCTTTTCGCAGCTGTTGGAAACCCCAAGGACTTGTTTGAGGAATGCCTGATGGCTCAGGATTTGGACACAGCTGCCTCTTACCTTATTATCTTACAGGTAACAGTTCTTTTCTTACAAAGTACGAGAATGAATGAGCCAAAAGGAGAGGGGGAAGGAAATGTCCTATGTTGACGCTGATGGTATTCCAAGGATTCACGCACTCTGCGGTCTGGTTTTCTGTTCTATGCAGCGTAACAACGTAGACTGACACGCACATATTACACAGGAAATATAATAATGAAGAATTATTTTGAATATTAGTGAGTTTGAGCTAATGTTAGCTAATTGGAACTATTTGAGCCTCTCACAGTTAACAGATTTGTTTCCTTCTAGTGAGGAATCCCCAAGGGGACTCTGGTTAAAGCCTGGGTCCTCCTGGCAGAGCACCTCATGTTAGGCTCCCCACAGCAAGCCGAGGAAGCGCGGGCCTGCCACAGTAATTACCCTCACAGTGCGCGGTTCTTGCCAAAATCATGGGTTCTCTGAGACTCCTGAAAATTTGTGTCATTATATATATCTGACAGAAGGGCTTGTAGTTGTTCTCAGTCTGATACAGATTTGACAGGTACACTTAGCGGTACTTTCAAATTACCACAAAGTTGTTTTCATTGATATAAGAAGCTGACCATTAACTTGGTTTAAACTCTGCCTGAAGCACATTTCTCATCTGCTTACTTGCTTCGGGACAACTGACTGAAGCCAGAGGAAAGAGTCCAGCAGAGGTGGGATGGCCCTTAAAGTCCGATTCCCTGGCTCATCTAAAAAAAAAACCACAGAATGATAAAAATAGAAACAAAATAAATGCAGCTGTGTTTTGTCTTGGACTTGGACTTCCAGTGATCTGCCAAGCAATGGGATTGGCCACTTTCTCTGTAGCAGAATTCCAGCCTTGCCGTGGATTGTCAGATAATTACAGTTAAACTTGCCTGTGCCCCCCCAAGGGCAGAGGCAGGCTGTGTGGTAAAGTTTGCGAAAGGATTCTTAAGGACACTCTGTGTAGCATTCCTACCAACTGCTGGCCAGAGCTGAGAGTGCTTTTGTCACAGCCTCAAAAACTGTCACCAGAGGGAGACCTGGGCTTCTGGGAGTCAGGCAAATCAGGTAGATTTGTTTCTTGCTTTTTTGCTGGTCTTCAGCAAGTTACTGAACTCCATTTCCTCATCTGTAAAACAGGAATGACATAACCACTTTGCAGGGTCACCAGGAGCCAGGGAAGACAGAATATGGGTCAGGTTTATGTGAGGTATTTGACTTTTTTAGAAAGTTTAGAAAATCCTTATTGTACACCGGCAGAGTGTTTGCCTCGCTTTTCCTTGCATGATACTTTCTGTTGATCCTTTCATTCTTACTATCAAACATTCCCCTATAGAGATAGAGCTGCATTCCTTCTCTGGTATAGAAATCGTAGAGATATAGAATTGCTCATACTTCCCAAATCATTTGCCGTGTAAAAGGAATGCTTGTCTTTGGTTGTTTTTGTAGAATATGGAAGTCCCAGCGGTAAGTAGGCAGCATGCCACCCTTCTGTTCAACACAGCCCTGGAACAAGGCAAATGGGACCTATGTCGACACATGATGCGATTTCTTAAAGCCATTGGCTCTGGAGACTCTGAGACCCCTCCATCCACACCTACTGCTCAGGTTGGTTGCGAAGTTGCACAGCCCCTCGGGGCCGGACACCTACGCGGCATCTTTCTCTAACGGTTCTGCGCATCGTGTGTAATCTTAGGAACCCAGTTCAAGTGGCGGATTTGAGTTCTTCAGAAATCGAAGCATCAGTTTATCCCAGTCCGCTGAAAATGTTCCTGCTAGTAAATTCAGCTTACAGAAAACACTGAGTATGCCGTCTGGTCCTTCTGGAAAAAGGTAAAAGAATAATGAGCCATTACTGCTTTGAGGGCATTCTGTGACACACATTGCATTTCAGGACATTTGTAAACTTGGATCTTAGGAAAACAACCATTTGATCAAATACAGCTCCTTTCTCCATTTCCAAAAGGCTTGAAGATCACACAAATTGCTTCTCTCCTTCTGTCCTCCAGAGTCCACTTCGTTATTCTTTGGATAGTTTCCGTCCCTTGTCCTAGTGTAGGTCTTGTGTACCCATTCTTTTTTTTTTTTTTTTTTTTTTTTTTTATTTATTTGATAGAGACACAGCAAGAGAGGGAACACAAGCAGGAAGGGTGCGAGAGGGAGAAGCAGGCTTCCCGCTGAGCAGAGAGCCCGATGCAGGGCTTGATCCCAGGACCCTGAGATCATGACCTGAGCTGAAAGCAGAGGCTTAACCCACTGCGCCACCCAGATGCCTCTTGTGTCCCATTCTGACAGAAGCTCACTTCAAATTACCCTGCTAATAGAGGACGAGAATAAAAAGGAAAGATAATTCTGCACGTAATCCAAAAGCCTTCTTATAGCCATAGTTTTATCTTTCTTTCCAACTGTAATTCATGGCAAAAGTCCCCATGTACTTGACTGTCCTGTGACTCTTTTGACTAGAGAAGTCATTAAACAGTGGGAGAGCCAAGAGGAAGTGTATCCTGAAGACCGAAAGCTACATCACCCGTAGATGGGTTATTGCCTCCTGAGCGGTTACCGTGAATTCATGCTGAACGTTATAAAATAGAATTTCTCTAGTTTGTGAGGTCCTTGTGTCCTTCCTGTGTCGTTAGGTGTTCTAAGCTCTTATCTTTCTCTCCCTTAATCCCTTCTTTTATATTCTGTTTTCATTGTTACTACGATGCCTGACACATAATGAGAACTTACTGAACATTTTCTTTTATGACATTTTACTACTTTCTTATCAGAGTCATAAATACCACCCTCACTCCCAACATCTACACACACAGTCGGGCTGTATACGAGTGAAATGCAGCCCCGGCTCACTACAAACAGGAGCTTCTCGGCTGCGCCTTCGCAGAGCGCGATGGCGGACTGACGCGCAGGAAGCGTCCGTATGAGCCAGGCGCTGCTGGGAGCGTGTACAGGAGCGCGTCTTCTCATCCTTATGACTTACAAGGGTCGGCACCATTGTTCACCCCATTGTGTGGGTGTAGAAACAGAGGCCCAGAAAGTAAGCTTGGTTATGTTTGCACAAGTATTGAGTTGGCAGAGCCAGATCTGGATCCACACAGTCGTCCAGGACTGCCTCTCACGGAAGGCACCACATGGCCCAGTTACCAAACCAGTCAGCCCGTATCAGCCCAGATGAGTAAGGGATGACAGACTACGTGTCGTCACGTAGTAAGTTTTTAAGCACCGGTCGTGTGTTCGTGCGCCTGCCCATCTCCCACCACCGTGCGCCGACTTCATTCTGCCGCGTGTCTCTTCTCCGTTTCTTTGATCTCCTCACCTCTTTCCATTGGGCTCTTCAAGTACAGCATTACTAGCTCCCTTTCTGTCCTTCAGCCCGTCACCACCCTCCTCCTTGTTTGGCTTTGTCCATCTCCTCTCTTTGCTTCTTCCATATTTCCATTCTAGAAGGGTCTTTTGAGAGCCTGCCATGCTCCGGGTGGTGTTCAGCAGCCGCCCTGGTGGTTTGTCTTCATTCGGTCAGAGCTCGATCTGGGACGGCTCCCCTCGTTCTCAGCATTAGCAGCGCTGCTGCGTACAAGCACGTGACGTCCTGGAGCACTGGTTCTGCAGCTTTCTTGTCCCGCTTACAGGTGGAGCAAGGACAGTGACTGCGCCGAGAACATGTATATTGACATGATGCTCTGGAGACACGCTCGGCGTCTCTTGGAAGAAGTTCGGCTGAAGGACCTCGGCTGCTTTGCAGCCCAGCTGGGCTTCGAACTCATTAGTTGGCTGTGCAAGGAGCGCACTCGGGCCGCACGGGTGGACAACTTCGTGCTGGCCCTGAAGAGACTTCACAGAGACTTCCTGTGGCCGCTTCCCATCATCCCAGCCTCTTCTCTCAGCTCCCCTTTCAAGAACGGAAAATACCGAACAGGTAACGTAGGCTCATGTCACTCGGTCGCAGATTATCAACAAGGTGAAAGTTGGCCGACGGTGGGAACCGCCACGCTTCCCTTCTGTGGCGAGCTGTAGAACTGGTTAGTCCTAGCCTCCAGATGAGCTAAGGTATGACTTACCTGACAGACATTAACAGAGAAGTGGTAGAAACGCATCGGAGGGAGTTCGGGCCGTCTTCTAATCTAGGAGAAGACAAAGTGAAACTCTTGGTGAGAGGAAAATTTAAAAGATAAAGATTTTTAGTTGAGGTCTTTCAAAGAAGACTGTTGTAACGACTATGACTCATGAAAACTCAAACAGAAAGCTTTTCCTGTGGCATTTCGAAACTGCATCTCGTCTTAAGAACCAAGGAAAAGCACTTACAAGATGAGCAGACTGACGTCTGTCTAGTGCTGATGAGACGTGCTGAGGTAGGCTGACGGTTAGATGGCGCTGCGTCGCCGCTTCCCTGGTTCGCGGGCGGACGATGCGGGGTAATCGGCTTTGAACTTGCAGTGTTTGAGAGTGGCAGGGAAAGAAGCTGAAAATTCCCGAGGTGGGAATGGTGGTGCGTGCATCTTCTGAATTTCCGCTTTCTTGTTTTGGGGCCTGCCTTGCAGTAGGAGAGCAGCTGTTAAAGTCCCAATCGGCGGACCCTTTTTTAAGCCTTGAGATGGACACGGGTATCTCTCATGTACAACGAAGTCAGAGCTGGCTTGGCAACATCGGCCCCACCCCTCATGAGATGGACCCAGCCTCGTCCCATGGACCACAGATGCAAGACGCCTTCTTGTCACCTTTATCTAATAAAGGTAAATGTCATTTTAAACCTCGCTTCTCCTTAGTTCCTTTGGAAGGTTTCTGTGCTGTAGCCCTTCAGAACCAGAGCTCCACTCTTTCCAGATATGTCCTTGAAATTAGTCATTAGAATCTGCTAGAGAGGAGGATAGTTTCTAGAGCAAGGCCATGCTGGCCTGAACTATACTTTGCCATATTTATTTTAGATGAACGAAATAGGTACAATCTCATTACAGACCAGCACTAACAGATGAAACTGTGTGCTTGATTTTAATGATACAGAAACACAAACTTTGAACTTCAAGTAAGTAAAATGTTCTCTCTGTATAAAGAACACTATTCTTCTCATAAGTAGACATGGAGCATAAAAAATTTTACTTCACTGCTTCTGTTTTTTATTTTACTGATAAAAATTTGTAGAAGTTTTCTTTATCTCTTGCAAGTTCCTGTGTAATATCCTTCATTTTGCCTCTTTATCTTCAAAGCCTAATTTACTCTCCGGCCCTTTACCAAAAAGCGAGCGCCAGCCTCTGCTCCTACGGGGTTAGCAGAGTTCCAGACGGAAGTAGCGTCAGAGTGATGCGTGTTGCCGAGGCTCGTCCGGTCATGGGGCTCTAAGTGTCAGGCCGGCTGCAGTTTTCTTTGGGGCCAAGCCCTCGCTTGCTGTCTTTACCATTTCTTGAGCTTTTGCTACATGGAGAAGCTTACAGCTTTCGTCACTCTTGTTCAAATTATAGAAGATACACATAATATGTGCCACTTAAACCATTTTTAAGTATGTGGTTCAGTAGGGTCGAGTGCATTCACGTTGCTGTGCAGCCGGCCTCCGGGACTCTGACTTGCCAAGCTAAGATTCCGTACCCAGCACAGAACAGTTCCCTTTTCTCCCTCCCCGGCACTGGCAGCCGCCACTCTGCTTTCTGTCTCTGTGAACTTGACTAGAGACCTCACGTAAGTGGAATTGTGCAGTCTGTGTCTTTCTGTGACTCAGGCTTATTTCACTTAGCATCGTGTTCTCAGAGTTCATGCCTGTTGCAGCGTGTGGGGGGAACTTCCTTCCTTCCGAAAGCTGTACAGCGCACCGTTGTGTGTAGACACCGTATTTCTGTGTATCCATCCGTCTACCCGCTGGTGAACGCTTGGCTGCTTCCACCTTTTGGTTATTGTGAATAAAGCTACAATGAACATAGGAATTCAGATTGTTTTTCAGGATGCTGCTTCCAATTCTTTTGAGTATATATATATCCAGAAGCAGAAATGCCAGATTATTCTTTAATTTTTTGAGGAACTGTCAACCTACCAACATTGACAAAGATTCCAGTTTCTTGACATTCTTGCCAGTACTTTATTTGGCTGGGGACTTGGGGGGGGGATGTTTTGTTTTGTTTTGTTTTGTAATAGCAATCCTAAGAGATGTGAAGTAATACCATTGCTCACTTTTTTTTAATAGAAAACTCTTTGAAGTGATGATTTCAAATATATTTTAAAATTAGAGATAATGGTATCATGGAAGCCTTGCCCCCACCCCCATGTATCTGTTACCCAGCTTCAGCTGTTACCAACACATGACCACGTTTGTTTGATCCCTTCCTATCTTATTGAACCAAATCCAAGACATGATATATTTTGTGGCTTTTTCAGTATGTACTTTAAAAGAACTCTTTAAAAAGTAATTCCATTACCATCCTTCCAGAATTTAACAATATTTCCTTAATATCAAATATCTAGTAAGTATTCAAATTCCAGTTATTTCATAATGTAATTTTTTTTTTATGGTTAGGACCAAGATCCAGATAAGGTTCACGCATTGTCGTTAATTCTTTCTTTAAAAAATGAGTTTCCCTCCCCACCCTTTTTTTTTTTTTTTTAAAGATTTATTTATTTTAGAGAGCATAAGCAGGAGGGGCAGAGGGAGAGGGAGAGAGAATCTTAAGCAGGCTCTTGGCTGAGCGTGGAAACCAATGCAGGCCTTGATCTCATGGACACGAGATCACGACCTGAGCCAAAACCAAGTCAGGTGCTTAATCAACTGGGCCACCCAGGTGCCCCCCCATCTTTATTTTTTTTTTTTAAACCCTTGCAGTTTGGATTTGCTTCCATGATTTTCTCAAAATGTGAATTTTGGTGATTGCATCTTCATGGTTTACCACTTTCCTCTGTATTTCTCATAAATTAGTAATTGAATCCAAAGGCCTGATCATGTTATAGCTGGATTTTTTTTGGAGGCAAGCAAGACTACTACATAGATGGTAGTGCCTTTTTCCATCTGAAGGCACATAATGCCTTATCTCTCTAACTTTTTTTTCTTAAAAATATCTACTACTGTTAATGTAACATGGGAATTTTAGCAGTTGATTCAACATTTGGGTTTCAGAATTTTGAGCAGAAATCAACATGTGAGAAACCACTAATTCTTAAACATACTTTCTGCATGAAGCTAATTTGTAAGTTTTGGCTCTTTTTCATCAGGTGACGAATGCAGTATTGGTTCAGCCACAGACTTGACTGAAAGTAGCTCCGTGGTGGACGGAGACTGGACAATGGTGGATGAAAACTTCTCCACACTCAGTCTGACCCAGTCAGAGCTGGAGCACATCTCCATGGAGCTGGCGAGTAAGGGGCCTCACAAATCCCAGGTCCAGCTTCGGTGAGTCCCTCCCTCAGCATCCAGGCAGCAGAGGGCCTGCTCCGGGTCTTCGGGCAGATAGGTTACGGGGGTTACTTTCCTGATGACAATCGCCCTTTTCTACACCGTAGAGCCTTCTGAGCTTCGGACTTTGTTTGGCTCCTGTAGGTACTTGCTGCACATCTTCATGGAGGCAGGATGTCTGGACTGGTGCGTTGTCATAGGCCTGATTCTTAGAGAGTCCTCAATAATCAACCAGATCGTGGTTCTCATCCAGTCTTCAGAGGTGGACGGAGAGATGTTGCAGAACATAAAGACGGGGCTGCACGCCGTAGACCGATGGGCCTCTACAGACTGGTAAGTGCACGTCTCCTTAGGCTTCTTACCTTGGCTGTTCTCGGGGGGGGGTCCTGTCCTTTCACAGTAGTGAGGTTTAGTTCTGGTTCATTTATTTGGAAATTGTTTAGGTTGGGAGAAGTAAAATGCTTTCACACGTTCCTTTCTGAAGCTGTTCTCTTAAATCACCATTCTGAGCCCGGCCAGGTACATAAATGACACAGTACAGATGCTCTGAGAATTGTTAGACTGGAACTTGAGGTCTGTGGTTCTGTGGAATTGCTGGTAATAATAATCTGAAAATGCCTGCTTTGAAAAGATAAAAACTTAAGGCATGTGTGAATTGAACAGGCCACAGCACTTACTAGGAAGCCCAAATTAAGAGTTAACAGAAGTGAGGAGCCTCAGATTCTAGCCCCTTGTCACCAGCTACGTGTGGATTTGGGGTTTCCTGTACTTGGCTCTGGTTTTTTCCTTAGTTGCCAAATTCACTTAGAAGAGATGTCCTGTATGCAGGTGCTTCAAGTGTGAAAAACCCCGTCTGTCCTCAGACTGTGCAGTATGAGCCGCACTGTCCTGCAGTAGGAGAAAGTGCGTCAGCCTTGCTGCCCGAGCTCAGAAACGTGAGGCAGCTCTGCTGGCCGCGGCCCTGCGCCGGCCACGGCACCTGAGAAGCGTTTCCTCCCTACCCCGTCCCCCCCTCCCCCCACACCACTGGTACACACCAGTACCCAGTGAGTACTCCGCCCTCACTGTGTCCGTGGTCAGGAGTTTGTCCAGAACACTCTAGGGAGCACTGTGAATGCGGCAGTCGAGAGCTAATTTCCTTTTCCCTCTGCTTAGTCCTGGATATAAGCCATTTTTAAACATCATTAAGCCGCAAGTGCAGAAGCTCAGCGAGCTCACGGAGGAGCAGGTCCAGCCCGAAGCCTTCCAGCCCGTCACCGTGGGCAAGACCCCCGAACACGCTGGTCCCCGTGCAGAGGAGAGCCGGGGCTCCTTGGGCCACGGAAGTGTCCCCCAGGGCGAGGTCGGAGGTGGCAGTCTGGTCAGCCGGAAGGAGGAGGACGCGACCCGAGCGGAGGAGGAGGAATCTTTTCAGGACGGGACTTACGACTGTTCTGTGTCCTAACAACGGTGGCGGGCTGTCACCGCAGGCAGTATTCCTTTGCGGCAGCTGAGGACACTGTGGACACTGTGGTCCACTGAGGACACTGTGACCTACTTGGACGATTGGACCAGGGAGAGAACTCAGAGACTCTGGTAAGGTGGTATTAAATTTTAACTCTTTCTCCTCTAGGAAATCTCGGACTCCGTGAAAACGTGATATCAAATCATTTTTCATAAAAAAATTTTTTAAGCTGCAGTGGGAATAAAAAGTATTATACAGTTGTACAGGAGGATGTTTTGGTTTTATTCTTAAAGGGTGGTAGCTCCTAAACCATAGGGATTGTTTTGCCCTAGATGAGCCTCCCTTTTCGGGACGTGTAGCTTCTTACGTTTCCTGGTTCAGCGGGAGTCCAGGCTGCTTCTGAAAGATAAATGCTGAGGCGCTTACAGGAGCTCATTAGGCCCTGAGCTCCCCGTGCGCCCCTTTGGATCGAGCGCGCTGGACTTCTGCACCGGCCTCCTGGCAGAGGCCTGCCCTGGCCAGCAGTGGCTGTCGTGTTGGGGACCTATCCTTGGCTGTCTTTAGCCATTAAATCCCAGTCCCGACTCGGTGGGAGCTACAGGCCTGTGAGTCCGTGCGCCTGCTTCCCTTAGCGGCTTGGTTCCCGCTGGATCAGCTCGGCAGAGGCCTGGGGGCTCTTTCGATTATGCTGTTAGATACCACTAAACTGTTTTGTATCAGAGAACTGTATCTTTTTGTGAATACTCTTGTGTAAATAGACTCAAAGGGCACTGTCCATATTTTTAGGGCTTATATTATAATTGGTAAGGTTTGATGCTGGATTCTGCACGGCAGTACTGACTCTTGGAAGGAGATGGGGCCTGCTCTTCTTTCCAGACGGGAGCAGTCTTCACAGGAAAAAGCAGGGTTATTGGCTTGGTCATATAGTAATGGAAATGGTCACACTGATCATGAATGAAACAGGTTTTGTGCAAATTAATGTAGTTTCTTATTTATTGCTTTTGTAAATTGAATAAAAATGGACCTTTATGTAAGTAGACTGCTGAATCCTGTACTATCACGGCTACTAAAAATCACTCTGTGAAGAATGCATTCTTCATTGTAACTTTTAAAATATTTTATGTATTTCTAGATATGACTTAATGTTAGTTTTCATACATTATGAAAACCTATCTGCATACTCCTTAATGGCTTCAGATCAAACACATACCCACTGTATGTACTTCCAGTTACCTTATATCAGTATTAATTTACATAGCTTGTTTGTACTGTGCAATTTAAACAAAGGAATGCAATGTTATTTTTTACAAAAACAAACTTGTTTATTTTTGTAATAACAGTTTATCTTGAGGTGGACCAAATTCATACCACTATGTAAAACAGCCTCTCTTCTCATAGTGCAATTACAGTTTAGAAATAAAACTTGGTCCTCTACCCTTGCTTTTTAAAGTAAATGGCTAGATACAGTTGTCCTAGCCTGGGTTTCCTTGGAAGGGAAACTCAAAACCATTTTGAAATTGCTTAGTTCAAAACTCATCAAACTTTTAAATTATTGTTTGGTAATTTACTATCATTTTTTGGTAATTTACTGTCATTTACTTTCTACATTACAAGTGCAATAATTTCACGTACTAGAACAACTGGTTGGGTGGGATATGTGGTGATGGTACCTGGTCCTTCTGGTGCTACTTTATTTAAGCCTTTGTTTTAAACCACCTTTCCCTGAACCTTATAAAAAAATGTGTCCCATGTGAGTACATGCAGCCCAGAAACTAACCTGAAACTTCTCCTGCCCTAGTCCATTAGGAGGAGAACGAGCATTATTTTTGTGTTTGGTGTGAATTTACAGTCAATAAAATGATTTATCATTGTAAACAGCTGTGCTCCTTTCCAGTCTCCATGTGCTGCTGGGTTCATCTCGCCTCACAGCAGGACACCCACAGGTTAACTGAGCTCCTGGGGCTAACCTCCCGAATGAGTCTTTGTCCCTGAACTTGTTTCCCAAGTAATAGAAATGGGCGACCTGAAGGAAGAAAAATTGGCTGGTTTACAGAACGTTTCTCTTTGGTAATTTGTTGTTTATTTTATTTTGCCTTGTTTGGTTCATGTATCAACTGTTGAAGCATAATTTTAACCGATGAATTTAAGTATTCAGTATAACTATTTGAAGATTATTTGCTGACACCAAAACAAGAGTCATTATGGGCAGTGAAGTCAACCTCTGCTTGTAATTAAAGTTGCTGCTACTTCTGTAATGTGTATTTTTTTTTTCTAATTTGGTGAAGGGCAATAAAACCATTACGTGAACTTTGTTTATTCAACACCTCCGCTTTAACAGCAAAAAGTATGTTTATTAAAAGCCATGGAAATCTTTTCATTATGTAATTCCACCTTTTAGAATTTTCCTTATGAAGTAACAGATTTCAAACTCGTATGCAGTATTATTTAGAATAGGAGCATCAGGGATCGGCGGCAGCCTCTATGCCTGACTGTAGAAGCTGGAAGAGAAATCCATCTTGAGGACATGGAAAATGTTCACAATATAATAAAAATGATTTCCACCAAACAAAACGGTCTGTGTAGGTATAGCAGAGGCCGGGCCCTGTCTCTAACAGGTGGGATTCAAAGTGATTGAGTTCCCCAGTTCCCTAAGTTTTTGTCCCGGTGGATTTCCTTCTTAGGGACGTCTCGTGTAAATGGAATCCTTGATCAGCGGCTTTTTCTGTGGCTTCTTTCACTTCGCAGGACATTTTCAAGGTTCATCTTTGTACATTAGTAGTCGTTCCTAGCCTAAGTTCCACTTTCTAGATAGACTGGTTTTATCTATCCATTCACCAGTAGAGGGCTGTTTGGGTGGTTACTACTGTTTGACAGTCATGAACATTCACGTACAAGTTTCCATGCAGGTGGAAGTTTTCAGTTCTCTCTAGAAGGGAGAATGCTTGGTCACATACCTGGTTAATGTTTTGAAGAAATGCCCAAGCACATTCCCAAGTGCCTGCGCCATGTTCCACGCTGGCACTAGCGGAGGCGGCGGGCTCCGAGTTCTCCCCTCAGCCCTGGTTGCTGGCAGTGGTTTTGGTTACAGCCTGAGTCGTGGAGGAAGCCGGGTGTGATTATGGCGTAGGTGAGGGTTTGCGTGGTGGCGAGTCTCTTTATAGTTAGTTATTAGCCATTTGCGTATCTTTAGAGAAATATGCCCGAATCATCTGCCCATTTCACAGTTGGGTCATTTATCCTTTTATGGTTGATTTGCAAGATATTAGACCCTTATCGGATAGGATTTGCAAGTGTTTTCTCATTCCTAAGGCTTGTGACTTTTGGGACGGTCCTTTGAAACGTGTTTTTCATTTGGGGGAAGTCTAACTTCTTCTCTGGTTGCTTGTGCTTTGGTGTATGTGAGGAACCACTGCCTAGGGTTACTGGCGACCTGTGCCTCTGTTTTCCTCTGAGAGCTTTTCATTTTTTACAGTTTTAGCTATTTAGGTCTTTGACCCATTTTGAGGTTTGGGGTTTTTTTTGCGTTCGGTGCGAAGTGAGGGGTCTTTGGTCACTCTGTGTGAGGCTCTTCAGTTGTCCCAGCACCATTTACTGAAAAGGTTTTTTTTTTTTTCCCTCATTGAATTGCCAAAAAAGATCATTTGGCTGTAAACAGGGATTTATTTGTGGACTCTCGATTGTGTATCAATCTCTCCTCTTACTGCCAGTACCACGTGGTCTCGGTTACTGTCCCTGCTTTGTGGGAGGTTCTGAATATGTGACTCGTAAGTTGCTGTTGCGGGTCCCTTGCATTTGCGTAGGACTGTTAGGATCAGCTTGTCCGTTTCTGCACATACGAGCTGAGATTGTGTTCAATTTGCGGATCAGTTTGGAGAATACGGCCATCCTAATTAAGCCAATCCGCAAACATGGGATTTCTTTCAGCAGGGTTTAGTTCTAGTGTCAAAGTCCTGTACTTTTGTAAGCTTAGTCCTAAGTATTTTATTTATCTTCTTGTTGTAGAAATACAATTGCTTATCGGTGTATCGATAGCACTTCCTGTAACTGCTGAATTCATGTATTAACATTTTTTTTTTTGGTGGATTCCTTAGGATTTGCTCTATAAATCCGTCCTTTCTCATCTGGATGCATTTGTCAAACTGCCCTGTACTGTACGCAGTAGCAGTGGCCGTGGTGGACCTGCTGGTCTTCTTCTGACCTTACAGGGAAGCTCGCAGGCTTTCAACACAGATGAGGTTAGCTGTGAGTTTTCATAGGAGGGAACTTCCTCACCCTGGTAAAGCTGCTCTGTCAATTGAGACGGTGTATTACGTCGACTTTTCAGGTGTTAGACCAGCTTCTCACACCTTGACTAAATCCCACCTGGTCATGTATAGAGCCAAACTTGAATATATCAGTACATTAAGGTTTTTACAAATCAAATAAGGAATAAGAAAATATACTTCAGTTACCTAAGATATTTTCCAGATGAAAAGAACCAGGCATAAAGAGGCCTAAATGCATTTTGGCTTTATTGCCCCTAAAAGGCTGCAAGGTGCGCACCACACTGCTCAGAGTGACTTCACGTAGAAAGCAAAATGATTTGCATAGGAACCTGTTCTGGGGAGTGGCAGGGCCCCTGCCCCCTCCTTGGGTGGAGAGGAGAGAGAGTGGTGGGCCACTGGCTGAAAGACCGTTTCTTCTCCCTGCCCCCACAGTCGTTGAGGATAAGCCCTTCAGTGATTTTGTCAATGGAGAGGATTTTAAAAAGCTCAGCATTTAACAAAATATGCACAATTTCATTCCACAGTAAAAAGCATCCCAGTATTTCTTTGTTGAGCTCTTTGCTCACATACCTGTTCTACCCACATGAGCCACCCAGGTCTTTTAAAAAGCAATTTTTAAAAAAAGCTTCAAAAAGGCTCTGTAGACTTGAAATAACTCTTCAAAGATGGGGATACAAAAGAACAAACAATAAAGATCTGGTTTTTCTGTTAAAGATACTAACTAGTAGGTTAAAAAGTTTATTTCAGTAATGTAAGGCAACAATTAATCCTCAGCAAGTCTGCAGACCAGTGAAAAGAAAGACCGTCGTTCTTCCTGCGGCTGCCTTAAGGCCCCTTCAGTGGAGGCATCGCAGCAATCCTGCCTCCTCGCTTCCATCAGCTAAACTGTGGAAACAGATACTTCATGCAACAGTCTTTCCTGTCAGACACAAGGTAAGTTTTAAACATCTTCAAAACCACAATTCACTTTTTCACTGAATGTGCAGTACTGGGCTACTTCTAAGTTCTGTAGGAAAAACTGCATTTGTTAGAATTTGGAAAGACCCGTTTAGAAGTGAGTTTTGAATGATGAGCTACTCCAGTCTGAGAGGCCGCTGCCTGCCCTGAAGGTGCGCTTAGGGACGAGCACGTCTATGTCCTCCCCGTCTGCAGCGAAGATGCTGCTCACGGAGGAAAGTAACGTGAGGGCAGCAAGGAAACCATGATTACTACCGAAAGGGACTCACATCCTCCCCAAAGGGGAGAAAACTTTTTCATACAGTGCCTGTCCTCAACATGGGATTCCCCCTCCCCTAACGTCTGTTTCAGATCAACTACAGGGACAAAAGAAATAGGCCTCTATTTTGAAATTCACTGAGCGATCACTTTCTGTCCACAACTCTGATTCTATACAAGCTACGAACACTGCAGTCGTCCTCACCGCCTGAAAAATTCGCAGGTCTGCCAGCCGGACCTATACCAGGGGGCAGGGTACGGGGTTGGCGTCTGGCTCTGGCCGCGGCCCCGCTGGCTGTGCGGCCGGGTCACGCTGCAGGGTGCCGGGGTAGGCCGGCGGCGGAGGAGCGGGACGGAGAAGGCGCCGTGCGTCCGTCAGTCACACGCAGCTGCGAGCACGTCCTCCTGCGACGCACACTTAGGTGCCACTTTGTTTTACTATTGCTTTTCTTTACAATGTCTTTTTGGCCTATGCTTGCTAAAGTCCGAATCTGTCCAACCTTTTCAGTTTCTTCTGGAAAAAAGCAAGCTGGGAGAACTGACCACTCCCCAGACCCATCCGCTGCTGCAGCCAGGAAGCCCCGAGAGACCCCGCCGTGACGAGCCTCCCCAGCCGCATCTTCGAAGTGAGAAGCGCCTGGAGGTCCTCGGCCCGCCCCTCTGCAGGGTCCTGATACCAGCGGCTGCAGGTCCAGTGGCCTCATCACTGCATAAGCCACCACCTGCAGCCCCCGGAAAGGCGCTCTGCTGCACACGGAGAAAGACAAAACTTAGGACTCAGTGGCAACAGTAAAATTATGCCCTAAAAGATTAACCTTGGATAACAGAACACGCCATTAAATGAAAAGAATATTTATAAAATGCCCAGCCACTCCTCAGCCCGCTCACTAATCGCCCCACAAAGCAGCCACCACAGCAACCCCAGGCTCCGAGGACGGAATGGAGCTTGTGCGCTTGCACACGTGACATCCAGAGCCAGAAGAGCCTAGAAAAACCCCACAGGAAAGGTAGCGGAACAGACGCCCCACTGAAACCAGAAGGTAGACAAGGGAACAGGTAGAGATCGGGCCGGGAAAGCAACTCAGGAAAGCATGGCCGTAGCAGCTCTCAGGGACGCCGCAGCTTGGCACAGACTCACATCGGGACCCCAGGCTTGGCTGCAGAGAAGCCCAGCTCGCGGAGCTTCACATCGTGCCTGAAGCAGCAGAGCTCTCGGCCCAGGCCAGGGCCTCAGGAGCCCCCCGGGGCTCCCCCAGCCCTTGCTGTACCTGCCTTCTGATCCTGACGTGAACGGATTTTAGCTACTGTCCTCTGACAAAACATCTTGGACTTCAGTCAGAAATGTCCTTTGTCTAATGAACAGCTCATGGTACCTTCTGTATCGTTCATGATCCTAAAGGGTAATAACTACTCAAGTGGTTTGTTGGCTTTTATCCTTACGGTCCTAGAGGATGACTGACGGGTGTGGTGGTGCCCACTGCACGTGGGGGCCGGGAAGCCGGCGTTTTCTGGAGTCAGAAAGGCCAGGCGTCCCTACCCCACAGCATCACTGTCATGGTGCTTGGCCCTGAAGTGTGTCAGCCCACGAAGCTCTCCGAACGGGCGCTCATTCCAGATCATGGCCTTGCAAACACCCACGTGATGCGGAGGAAAACCGCGTCCAGGGGCATCCCGCGGGCACGCACGGCGCGCTGCTCCAGCAGACTAGAACACGAAGAGGCTGTAGGTGCACACCCAGGCAGAGGGGAAGGTCCAGTCTGGGAACTTCTCTCTCAGAGCATCCAGCTCGGAGGACTTCTTATCTTCCCCAGAAAGGTAGTGGGCAGCAATGGCCACAGTGACCATTCCTTCAGGCCGTTCTTCCAAGACCTGGCAGAGAAAATTAGTTTAGTTCTCCGGCTGCAGGAAGGCAGAGTAACGATCCCCGACACCACCGGGGTGCCTGAGGAGTGACCGCAGCAGTGCGGGGAGACTCCCACCTGTACTTCTATCCAGAAGCGCCACGCGGAGGCCTGGAGCCCGTGGGAGTAAAATACGAAGTAGTCCCCTCCTTTACTTGTGACTGGGGTGCCGTTGCCAAGAGACCACTGAGAAAGCGTCGACCCTTTGTGGGTTCGAACGTAGAAGGACATGTGGCTCGGTCCTGTATGGAAGAGGAAGAAGAGTTCATCTCTCAAAAAGCATCAAGGAAAGCAGTTCACTCACCAAACCAGACTACGAAGGCCACACTGGTTTGCGTCTCCGCGCCGTGGGCACGGACTTGGGACAGTAATGCGCGCCAGCAGGAAACGCCCAGAACCGACAATGAGAAAACCCCTCGTTGAAACACGTAAGAACGTAGCACGCATGAGTCCTTGAAAAACCTAGAGAATAAGCTTTACCTAACCAAGAGGTGACTTCAAGAGCTGCAGCAAAAGGACAGGATTTTCAAAGACCCGAACACGTGACGGGGCTGGAAGCCAAGATACTACGCAGCCAGCAGAGAGGGAGTGAGGCCGCGGAGTCCGGAGACTTGTAGGGGCGAGGCCACTAAAAACTAAGATAGTAAAAGGTTACATAGTATGTGGTCAAAACAAAAAGGTAAGCTTTCCTAAATGCCAGAAAATATTTTTTTTAGTTAAAGAGCAAAAAAGACCTACAAAAAGAATGTAGCAAACCACAAAGTGGAGACCAAATGCATCAGTCATAAGAAATAAATGTGAAAGGATCTAATCAGCAACTAGAAGGGAAAAAATTTCAACTTCGCTTAAAAAGCCAGATCCAATCATCTACTGTATTCAAAAAATATACTTAAAAGAGACTCAGGAAAGGTATAAATAGCAGTATGAACAAAGTGGACACAGTTTTTTAAAAGACCTTTTTAGGCAACCTGTGATTCGGTTAAGCCTCTGCCTTCGGCTCAGGTCATGAGCTCAGGGTCCTGGGATCGAGCCCCGCATCGGGTTCCCCACTCAGGGGCGTCTGCCTCTCCCTCTGCCCCTCCCCACTGTTTATGCTCGCTCTCAAATAAAATCTTTCAGAAAAAAACAGGATTTGAGAGAAAACATTACATATAAAAAGGTACTTTATGGGGCGCCTGGGTGGCTCAGTGGGTTGATAAGCCTCTGCCTTCAGCTCAGGTCATGGTCTGAAGGTCCTGGGATCAAACCCCACATTGGGCTCCCTGCTCAGCAGGAAGCCTGCTTCCCCCTCTCTCTCTGCCTACTTGTGATCTCTGTCAAATAAGCAAACAAAAAAAAAAGGTACTTTATAATACCTAAAGCTGTGAATTCTATCAGGTGACAGCAACTGCTTGATAAAGTAAAACTACAGGAGATGCAGACAGACCCAAGTAAGAGACCGTGATAATCCACTGTCCTACAAAACATGAGGTGAACAAAAAGGATATAAAAAGACCAAAACAAGTGATCAGTAAAGTAGATCATATGGGTAGATACAACCAATTTGAGAAGATAAATTTTGCATTATTGGCATGTACAGTGGGCACAAAACATTCACACACTATTAGCTTATAAAGGAAACATCAGTTCTATAAAATTGAAATATTATAAATAAAACGTGATAACTTGGTAAAACTGGTGATAACTTGGTAAAGCTTAAAATTATCAACAACGAAACAAAATGGCCTTCTACCTGCAAATTTTTAAAGTCTACATAAAGACTCAGGGTCACTCAGTCAGTTAAGGGTCTGTTGGTTTCTGCTCAGGTCATGGTCTCATGGGTTATGGGACCAAGCCTGTGCTGGGCTTCCTGTTCAGTGGGGAGTCTGCGTGGGATTCTCTCTCTGCCTCTGCCTCTCCCCCTGCTTGGGTGTGCTCTCTCAAATAAATATAAAAGAGACTCGGTTTAAGAAGAAATCCGAAAAAAATTACAGGACGTTTTTGTAAATAATGAAAATATTAAACTACTGGGTACACTTAAAAAGGCAGTGATAAGAGGAAACCCCATAGCAATAAATGTTTTTTCAGTAAAATTTAAAAAGGCAACAAAGAGGAAAAGAAAATCTTACAGATAAAGCAAAAAAGCAGAAATCAATAAAAGAATGAGAATAAAACGTAACTTAGTGAGAAACTTTTTTAAAATTAACTACTAGCTAACTTGGTAAAGAAAGCGGCAAGGGGAAGGGGTGTGGAGTAGAGAAAATACAAATATACAAAAAGAAGAAATGTGACCTCTATACTCTTAAATGTGGAAACCCAGATGAAATGGATACTTTTCAAGGAAAACAGATTACTAAACTTGTACAACAGAGGTATAAACCTGAAGTAGCCCAATCTCCCAAGAAAAAGTTAAACTTCCCCTGTAACATAGGCATTGTGGCCAGGTGGTTGCAGAGAGCAGCAGAAGCCAACTTTTCTTTTCTTTTTTTTTTTTTTTAAAGATTTATTTGTTTATTTGACAGAGATTACAAGTAGGCAAACAGGCAGGCAGAGAGAGAGAGGAAGGGAAGCAGGCTCCCTGCTGAGCACAGAGCCTGATGCGGGGCTCCATCCCAGGACCCTGGGATCATGACCTGAGCCGAACGCAAAGGCTTTAACCCACTGAGCCACCCAGGCACCCAGAAGCCAACTTTTCAAGGAGGTCATTTAAATGCTTCCAAAATTATTCTAAGGCATTTGAAATTAAGGACAACTTTCCATTTTCATGATGTTTATACATTTATAATGTGTGACACATGCCTAAATCTTATTAAAGAGTACCCAAAAATAAAGATGGACCAGTATCACTCATGAGTATTAACTCAAAATTTCTAAACATTAGCAAACAAAATCCAGTGATGTGACGAGAATCAGAAACCACGGCCTAGTGGAAAACAACAGCATTATCAAAAAACCCAAGGAAGAAAAATCCTATGATTCTCTTTATACATTCTGAAAAAAGCCTTTCCCAAAATTAAAACCTATTGCTTATGAAAACACGCAAGGCAGGACTGCCGATAAATGCTTGCCACTCAAACGCCGGGCAACACTACACACCGCAACACTACACACCCGCGCTCTACGTAACACAAGGCCGCCCGCTCGTCACGTCACATCGCCACATGGCAGCACCAGCCACTTACACATGTCAATCACAGACCTAAGAACAGGTAAAGAAGAGAGACTGTATTTGCAGAAGATACACAGTGGTCAGCAAGCTAGACTTGAGGTCTGTTTGTAAGACTTCGGACTAAGAATGGTTTTTATGTGTTCAAAAAGTAGTTAAGGGGTGCCTGGGTGGCTCAGTTGGTTAAACGTCTGCCTTCTAGTCAGGTCATGATCTCAGGGTCCTGGACTGGAGCCCCATGTCTGCTTCTGGCCCTTCCCCTGCAATCATGCTCTTTCATGCTCTCAAATTTAAAAGTCTTTAAAAAAAAAAAAAAAAAAAGCAGCTAAAAAAAATCTACAATAGGGACATACAGCAAAGCCCAAAAGTGTTTACTATCTGGCCATTTAAAGGTTGGCAATTCCTGGTTTACCTGGGGAACCCTAGAGGAGTAATAATTAACTCAAAAAGTAAAAGATCGAACGCAAACAATGAATCATAGACTAATAAAAAAAAGTAGAAGATTCAGTAAGATAGCAAGATACAAAATTTATATACAAAACTGACACATACGAAATATAACTAGTTATGAGAACAGTAGAGAAAAACCCCAATTTTAATAGCAACAAAAACTAGATGAGAAAAATCTTACTAACACTCCTGAAAGACACAAAAGTAGATGTGAACACATGAAAAGACATTCCCAGTTCTTGGACAGGATGACATTATGTCAGCTCTCCTTAATTTATAAATTATGTTACTCCCTGAAATACCAATAAGCAATTAAGTTTTATGTCAGAGTTACAATACTAAAGTTCATATGGAAAAGCAAACATGCAAAAATAGCAAGGAAAATCCTGAAAAACAAAAATTAGAGACTCTTAACCCTCGCAATCATTAAGTTAAAAGCTTCTATAATTAAAAATGCAATTAACAGGTTCATAAATAGACCCACATATATATGGTCAAGTTTTTTTTCCTGATTTCTTGACATTTGTAATCACAAAACACAGGGCAGGAGATAGTAACCTGCCTGCCAGGAACCTGAATTTTACTGGAATTCTCCAAATTATGCATGAAAGATAAAGTTTTGGATTTTTCTGTGCTTCCTTTTTACAAGCTGGTGGTTAAATACAAATCAGAAATAATTATTGGCATGAACAAGAAAAGCGGTTGGTGCAAAATACATTTATTTCCAATTAAATTTTAAAAGCTTAGAGAAAACAAAAGTATCCACCTTCAACCTTCAAAAGCATCAGCTGAGACTCTTAATTCCCTGTAAGCGCTTTGTTCCATTGGTTAACTACCAAACTGTATTATTTCACTACCACCATCTTGTGTCCTCCAGTCTTCCTTACCAGATTTTCAAGTCCCTTCTGTGTTAAACGGAATGAACTATGCCTGAGCACAATAAATATAATAACTTGCTTTTTACAGTAAATATGATGGCTATAGTCACCAAAAAAATACAAAAATCAAACAAGCTACTTGTGAAAGAGGAAGTTCAGTAAAAAGTGGGCAAAGTTGAGGTATACACAATCCAATAATTTTGACAAAGACGCCAAAGCAATTCAATAGGGTAAAGGTTAAATCTTTTCAACAGATGATGGTAGAACAACTGGAAATCCATAAAGGAAAAAAAAAAAAAAAAACTTGCCCCCTAACTCACACCATATGCAAAAATTAACAGCTAAAGCCGTGAAGCTTCTAGAAGGAAAAATGAGTGTCTTTGTGGCCTCTGGGTAGACAAGATTTTCTTAGGATACATACAGTACTAAATCTAAAGAAAAACCTGATAAATTGAAATTCATAAAAATTTAAAACTTCTGCACATCAAATGACCCCATTAAGAAAATGAATGGGTAAGAAAATCTGGGTATCTGATACATACATTCCTGATAAAAGACTATAATGTGGAACATACGCACTCCTGCAAGCCAATAAGCCCAATTTTTAAAAGAGAAGTGAAACAAGCCAAGGTAGCAGAATGTCTTCCAGGAAGCACTTGGAAGAGTGTCCCACGTCATCAGTCACCAGACCAGCGCAGGAGCTACTGCTGAAGGCCCCACAGAAACAGTATGAGGGACAAGAACAGCCAATACTGGGGAGAATGTGGAACAACTGGAATTCGGAGAGACTCCTTTTAGGGAACCAAATACTAATACTCAAAACAACACAGCTCAGTCTCAGAAACATTATGCTTCATGACCCAGACCCACCATATTACATACTGGAAAATTCCATTTATATGACACTCAAGAATGGTACAAAGTGAACACAGCAGGAACTTTTAAAAACGAACTTCTTGTGTTAGAATTCTCCAGAGAAATAGAACCAATCCTCAACATAATATTAGCAAATCAAGTCCAACAATGCATAAAAAGAATTCTATACTACAACCAGGGAGGATTTATTCCATGTATACAAGATTGGTTCAGCCTTTGAACATCAGTTCCCGTAATCCATCACACAACAGACTAATGAAGACAAAGAAGAGCATGTGACAAAATCCAACATCCATTCAGAGTTCAGCAAACTAAAACTAGAGGGGAGTTTCCTCAACCTTATAAAGAGCATCTACAGAAAACCTACAGCTAACAGGATACTCAGTAGAAATACAGAAGCTTTCCCACTGAGATCAAGAACAAGACAGTGGGGACACCTGGGTGGTTCAGTTGGTTAAGCGGCTGCCTTCGGCTCAGGTCATGATCCCAGCATCCTGGAATCGAGTCCCGCATTGGGCTCTTTGCTCAGCAGGAAGCCTGCTTCTTCCTCTGCCTCTGCCTGCCAATCTGTCTGCCTGTGCTCTGCCTGTGCTCACTCAGAAATAAATAAATAAAATCTTAAAAAAAAAAAAAAAACAAAACACACAAGACAGTGATTACCACTCTTACTACTCCTCTTAGCATTCTTTTTCACAATACTGAAAGTCTTGGTTAATGCAATAAGACAAGAAAAGGTAATAAGTAAAAAAAGATTGAGAAAGAAGAAATAGTACTATTTGCAGATGACATGATCATCCATATAGAAAATCCCAAAGAATCAACAAAAAACCTCCTGTAACTAATAAACAATGATGGCAAGGTTGCAGGATACAAAGTTAATAAACGAAATCAACTGTGTTCCTATATACCATGAATGAAAAATACTGTTTACATTAGCATCCCCAAAATGAAATACTTGGGTAGAAATCTAAAAAAAGTCTTATGAAATATATGAGGAAAACTACACAATCTAGTCCTGAGGAAAGCAAACGAATACATGTAAGTGGAGACATATTCCATGTCATGGAGAAACCACTAAGATGCCATTTGCCCCTGCTTGAGCTATAGATTACAGTGCAGCTCTGGTCAGAATCCCAGAAAGTTGTATTGTGGATCTCAACAAACTGATATATGGAGAGACAAAAGCAACATTCAGAAGAATAAAGTCGGAGAGGATGGATACTCCCCACTTTCAAGACTTGAGCAAGAGCGCACCATAATGGCTAAACAGAAGTGAAACAGAAGAGAGAGCCCAGAAATAGACTGACGCAACAAAGGTCATTCAGTAGAGGCAGGACATTCTTCATCAAAAAATGGTACTGGAACAGCTGGAAATCCACATGCCAAAAAAAAAAAAAAAAAATCCTACACTCAGACCTTACATGTTTCACAAAAATTAACTCAAAATGGCTCTCTCATGAATCTAAATAGAAAACACAAAACGAAACCTGTAGAAGGTAACATCAGAGAAAATGCAGAGACCCCAGGTTTGGCAATGACTTTTAGACACGACACCAAAATCGTAACCCATCAAAGAAAAACTGATCATACTGGACTTCGTTGGACTTATGTTCTGTGGGAAACACTCTTGAGAGAGTGAAAAGACAACCCCAGATTGGAAGAAAACATTTGCAAAGCACTTATCTGATCTAAAGGACTTCCATCCATACGCACAGAGAACTCTTAAATTTGAACAACAAATCAAACCACCCAGTTAACAGACACCTCACCAGTAGTGACACACAGATGGCAAGTAACCTAGGAAAGGATGCCCACGCTGTAGGTCAACAGGGAGCGGCCCACGGAAGGAGCAGCGACACGGCACTACCGGTCCGGCAGCGTGGCTAGGATCCCGACAGACAGCGCCGAGCACAGCACTGCTGGGCGGGCAGTGGGGCGCAGGCGCGCTGGGAGAGACTGCCCATGTCTGACAACAGTAAATACAGGCCAACCACACGATCTAGCAACTGTACTCCTAGGTTTTTATCCAGGTGAGCTCAAAACATGTCTAGACAAAAACCTGCAAACAAATGTTTACGGCAGCTTTATTCACAATTGCCAAATGTTAGCAACCAGGCGGCCTGTCCATCTGCAGGGGCATGGCCCATCCGGGGCCCAGCCACATCACTGCGGAGCGGTGAAAAGAAACGAAAAGTCTCGCACCCTGATGACATGAAGGCTCTGAGATGCGGACTGCAAAGTGAGGAGGACTACGAACCATCTGATTGCAGCTACAGGACACTCCGGAAAAGACAAGACAGTAGAACTGGTAACAAAGTCAGAGTTTGCCAGAGGGAGTGGGGAAGAGGGATGGAGGGAGGGAGCACAGGGGATTCTCAGGGCAGGGAATCAGATCTACTCTGTGTGATACGGTGGGTGCATGACATCACTCATTTGTCCCCGAAAACTCCCAGAACTATGCAACACACAGAGTGAACTGAGCCTTCACACGAGCCACAGACTTCAGTTACTGGTAATGTGTATCAGCGTGGGCTTGTCCACATTAGGAACTGCACCACCCTCCGAGAACAAGATGTTAATAAGGCAAGCAGGAGGAGGGGAGCTCTTTCTGCTCAATTTTTCTGTAAACCTAAAACCACTCTAAAAAAATAAGTCTTAAAGAAATTCAAGTGCTCTTTTTTTCTTTTTTTAAAAGAAAGCGGGGGGGGGGGGGCGCCTGGGTGGCTCAGTGGGTTAAAGCCTCTGCTTTCAGCTCAGATCATGATCTCAGGGCCCTGGGATCGAAACCTGCACTGGGCTCTCTGCTCCGCAGGGAGCCTGCTTTCCTCCGCCTCTCTGCCTGCCTCTCCACCTACTTGTGATCTCTGTCAAATAAATAAAATCTTTAAAAAAAACAAACTTTAAGTGCTCTCGGAAACACAAAGTTCTTCCTAAGTCACTAGTCACTACCATTTGGGAAAAAAATACCTATTTTAAGAATTTAAAAAGTGAAATAGAGAAGAAAACATTGTCCTATCTCTTACCTGTGGCTTCAAACGTCAGCTTCACAGAATCCCAGGGTGTCTGTTCTTTGGACACAAGCCTGAAATGAGCCGGATCTCCTGGAGAAACTTCTGGGGCAGGAAGATACCAATTTTTCCTATTTGGAAAGGTAGCTTCAATATTTAGGACGCTTAATTTTAGTTGAAGGCTATCTCTAACTCATTGAAGGGGTCTGAATATACGACTCACATTTTGGGATATGAAAATCATCTCTGATGGTAAAATCATGCAAATTACTCTAAAAGCCCATCACTGTGTAATAAAACCTTCCCCAAATTACGAACGAGGGATCCTAGGAGGTCTCGAGTCCACCACCCGCCCTGTTCCTCCTTATCCAGCCCCTTACCACCAAACCACGAACATCCCAGAAATATAAAACCATCCAAACGAATGCTTCACTGCGATCTATCAGACCATCGGACCTCCCGAGAGGGCCAGCCTTTCTCATAACTACTCGGGTCTCTAGAGGAAAGACTTCCCAGATTTGAGAAGGCAACAGCAAACTTCCGAGTGCTTTGTCCCGCTGAAGGGGAACTTTGGCCGTGACGGACACAGCACACGCGGCACTTGCCGTCTGCGTTAACTGCACAAATAAGGGCAGTCCCGTGGCCCAAAGGCCATGCAGCACACGAGGGACCCGACCTGATGAGGAAGTGCACCGGGAGGTACCACGGGAAGCCACACAGGGGCGCGTCCTCCTCACAGTGAGCTCGGATGGTGTCGTTGATCTCAGGAATGTGAGGCGTGATGTGGGACATGCCCGTGTAGTCGAACCCGTTGATCCATATTCCGGAGTCCCGCTTAGTGACGTTTCCGTCTAGGCCGTGAAACGTTCTAGTCACGTGCTGCGAAGAACAGAGCCGTGAGCCGGCGGCCGCCTGACCCCTTCACCGCGTCCCCGCCCGGGCGGCACGAGAACGCGCAAACGGGAGGATGCCGAGCGCCGCCGGGCCGGAGCCACAGGGCCCCTCCCGTGCTGCTGGGGGGCAGGGCGGGCCCGGCCACCCCAGGGCACTGCTCAGCGTCACCTAAACACGCACAGGCCCAGCCAGCCCTTCTACTCCTGCGGGGGACCCGAGAGAACGGCGGGCGAGGGCCGCGCGGGGATCCAGCACCGACCCCGGCAGCGAAAACTGCGAACAACCCGGACGCCCACAGCAGCAGCAGGGCCAGGGGCGCCCATTCGCTGAAGGACGGTGACGCGCGCCCGTGAGGAAGCTTCCCCCACGCTGCTGGGCAGGACACAGCCAGTCACGAAGGACCGTTTATGGCTTTGTCCTTTAAGAGGCTCAAAAAGAGGCAAACTGTCTTCCTGTCTAGGGCTCCATAGAAAAGGTACTAACTCCCTCCCAACTTCACGACTGTATGGGGGGGGGGCTGGGATCAAGAAGGGGACACTCGGGTCATAGCAGGTACTTCTGTTCTTTCCTTTAAACTCGAGGATGAATATACAAAGTGTTACTGTTTCTTACAAGTATATTTACATATTTAAATTTCATTAAAGCCTTTCTGAAGACCTATTTCAGATTTAAAAGACAGGGACATTGGAACTCCATTTAGACAAAGGCTGCGAACAAAGCCATTCTGAGATAGAGACACACTCTGCTTTCAGTGTGCGGCCTGAGGCCCCTCCCGAGCAGAGACAAACACCCCCGCGCAGCCCGGATGACACACGTGGGCACCACGCTCCAACCAGCGCAGGAGAAAGCAGCCCAGAGCACACCAAGCAGGAAGAAAGGACGGCAGGGGTGGGGTCCAGGGAACTGGAGCCCACAGGCCACGCGGCCACTACTCTGCTTGCACAGGCCACGCTCACCTGAGGAGGCGCCGTCTGTGGCCACCTGTGTGCCACAAAACGGCGGGGACAGAGGCCACGCGGCTGGCAGAGCCCCAAGTACTTCTTACCTGACCCTCTTCGGGGAAAGCATGCCAACTTCTGGCACTGGGGAAGAAGAGAACCCCAAACAAAGCAGAATGTAAGTTTTTAAAAATAAAAATGCCACTTTTCCTTACTAATGTAATTATAAAAATTCAGCAAGTCACAAAACACACTGACTCTCCTAAAATTAAGCTGTTCTTCATTCATGGTTTTGTAAATTGTCAAGATTGTCACATAAGGCATATCGCTGTGTCCTCCAGGACTTCCTGTAACAAGGAACAGTGGCCCTTTGTCAGCAACTCCTCCCTGATAACTTACATTCAAGTGTTACTGTTACTCCCTTCAAATCCCTGAGTAGTTCCTGGCTTATGATTTTGGCTTTTCTTTCTTTATTTTTAAGATTTGTTTGTAAAGTAGAGTCTACACCTCATGTGCGTGTAGACCCACGTCTACAAACTCATGACCCCGAGACCCAGAGTCGCATGCCCTCCTGGTCCAGCCAGCCGGGGGCCCTTGTGTGCAGTTGGCTTTTCTGCTTCTCAGCCTCTAAGAGAAAGGAGGACGGGAAATAAGGCAGCTCAGCGCGTTCTCCTGCCTTCCAGCGCCAAATTCAAAAAGTGCCGAAAACCTAAAATGCACAGAAGTTCTAAAGCCTGGGTTACTGGTCCCTTTCTAAGTTCTTACATTTTCATTATGACATCCTCCCTCAAAGACGACCTAAGATCATTTTTACGGGCATTTTAAAATAGCAGTTTGACTTTGCCAGCTCAACTCAGATTCTCCCTCAGCCTGCGGACGTTTCTACAATCTGTCCTTCCAGAGCTCATCACTCCGCGGCAGACTTGCTCTGCCTTCTCCAGGGCGGGCGCTTCTGTGACGTGAACAAGAACAAAGCAAGCTGACATGTCCAGGTCGGCCCCTCGGGGACGCGGGTGTCGCGGAGCAGCTCCGGTCCGTCCCCCGCCCCGCCCGGCGCACGGCGGCCGAGAGAAGCGCAGGCCCGGCCGACTCCCCGCAGCCGAGCTCGGCGCCCACGAGGCTGCCCCCCCCCCCGGCCCCCGCCGGCCGCACACCCTCTGGCGAAGCCGCTCTTCTTACCTGGAGAAACACCCGCTTCGGCTTGGGGCTGGCAGGCTGCGAGCTATAGGGGAAGAAGGCGCCGCTGCAGACGAGGAGCAGCGTGACGGCGCACACGGACGTCAGCGCCAGCAGCGTCTTCCTGGTGCTCTTGGCCAAGTAGATGAAGCTGATCTGCGAGACAGGACGCGGAGCCGCGGCGTTCCCGGGGGCAGACGCTGGCCCTGCCGCCTGCGTCCCGGGCCGGCCGCCACCCGCGCAACCGCGAGGCCGGGGCGCAGGCGCTGCCTCAGGGGTTCTGGGCCGGAGCCCATGTAAAGGAGGGGAGCCCCATCCCCCACAAACCGTCGAGAGGGGAAAGGACACAGAGACGGGGTCTCGGTTCGGTCGGCAGAGACACCACGACAGAGACGCAGCACCAGTGAAACCAGGACCTTACTTCGCTTCTGACGGTCAGTGCCCCACGTTAGCCGCGGCCCGGGAGACGCCACTGATCTACCAAGCGTCACCACAGGAGGCTCTCGTTGAAGAACCAGAGCTAAGATCGGGCGCGTCCACACGCCCGTTCCCAGGAGACCAAGTTCGGCTCCTGACGCTCTGGCGCCTGCCTCGGTGCTGGCTGCGTCCGAACGTGCACCTCGACACCCGTCAGGACGCCGCGTGGGGCCCTTCGGGGCTGGGTGAGCAGAGCGGACCCGGGCCGCCGGCAGGCCTGGGCTCGGGCGGGGGCGCCTCGCACGTCCCACACCTGCTTCCCCGAGCCCTTCGGTGGTCGGGAAGTCCCAGCTGTGGGGGACACACGTGACTCACAGAACCACCCACAGATCCCTCAGGGGCTCGGAAGGGGCCACACTGATCCCATCCCAGCTCCCCGTGCCTGCTCCCCCTGGTCACCCACCCTCCAGGGCTCCATACGTAGAGCATGAATGTGGAGAGACTTCTGTGGAAATGAAAATGAGAAATCGGGCAAATACGCATAACCTCCCACATGCTCTACTACACAAAACACCGGGCACCAGCGTCCCCTCCGGGGTCCGCTCCAGCGACACGTACCGGCCTTAGGGCAGTGATCTTGCGTTTTTACACAGTAAGCACGGAAACAAGACGAGGCCCCAGGAGCCAAGGCAGGGAATTAGCAAAACTACACTCGTACCTGTCTGTCCCTCAGTGTCCCGGCAGTCGTAAGATTTTACGGTGTGACTCCGCAGAGCAGCATCAGACATCCCGCCAAGCAGTGACTTCCGCTCCGCGGGGAGGGGAGGCGACACTTAGGTGTCGAGAGTCTTTCAGGTCAGAGGAAGACCTCGCCGTCAGAGGCGGTGGCTCCTGCCATCCCCACCCAACCACCTTGCAAGGCTGTCCTAAAGTTCTGTGTCAGCTACCCTGTCACATGCCACAGGCATTCCTCAAGCCATGAGGCTCATCAGCTGCCCCTGCCACACGTCTCAGGCGGTGAGCACAATGCAAGCACAGGGCACAGGGGTCGGGGGGGGGGGGGGCCGGAGTGACAATGTGTCTGGATTCCAGCACCTCCGATTTCACTCTTATTTCTGCCTTAAATGGGACATCCCTCACTCTAGATTCTCAAACATGTGCAAAATGAAACAAAGAGAAGCATGAGAAGGGTCGAGGCAGCGTCCAGGTCACTGGACGTTCCCCAAGGTCACTCAGCAGCAGTCTCGTTGAATCAGGACAACCCCAGGAACACCCGCGGCCCCACCACCAGACAGGCACGTCACTGCTCCCTACAAATGGACTCAGTGGATCCCCGAGGACCGAAAAGAAGAACTCCGTGAAATCTGCATTACTCTTTCTGTCCCCCATTGCGGAGACCAGGCTGCCTCTTTTCGGCCCCCCCAACCCCGCTCCAACACCATGCCCTGGAGGCAAGTCAAGGAGCCAACGATGTCCCCCCATGGCCACCAACAGCGCGGCCATCTTGCATTCTTATGAAAAGTAAATGAGCTTCCAATGATGCCAAGAGGCATGCTCCAGAAGCTTTCCTAATAAAATATAATTCAGAAAACTATATATTTTAATCCTCTCTCCATGGTTTCCAGGATTCCCATACTCGGGGGTCACTTTCCATTTCCACGGTGAAGCTGTCAGGGTTTTTAATCTGTCCCGTTCCACACGGGACGGAACTAAAATGTCCCATATTTTGATCATGGCTTCTGAGCACTAACAGACGGCGGGACCCAGTTCATGACTCCGCCAACTCAAGATCACAACCTAATCTATGCGTGATGAGCCCTGAACCACTTCGGCCCTCACAGCAGCCAAACCCTCTAGCTACCTGCACAGAGAATTTAAAGGCTTAACATTAAACCAAAAGAAGTAAACCCTAGAGGCGTCAAAGAACATTTCAGAATTCTCCATCCACCCCTGCATGTACCAGTAAGGACTGAATCATTACAGTAAAGACAAAATAGCTGGAATGCTCAGACTTCCTTCCACCAGCCGCACACAGGGGCATACAGAACCGCTCTCCAGGCCTGATGCCACTCTCCTGTCTAAGGGATGTGCACCGAAGCTGCTGACCACGCAAGTGGCATCTTTACACATCATCTCTAAACCCTCACCTCCACCTGACACGCCCTCCACTGTAGTGACATGGAAAGACTCGCCATCGTCTCCATGGAGGAAAGAACTATGATAGAGTCACAACTGCTTTTTCTACTTAGTCCCCTAACTGCAAATCTTGGAGCGTACCTATGGGTATGCAGTCATCGCTTCTTATTCTCAGGAATTCCAGGAAAAGAGCCACACCCCAGAGAGCAGCCTCCACGAGAGGGGACAGGCCTGAGGTCCCCACTCTGAGGGCAGAACTCTGCCTAGAACCTGCTCTACCACGGGGTCCGGTCTTCCCTCAGGGGAGTCCTGGGGAGGAGCAGCAGGGACGGCAAAGGCACAACTCTCCCTGCAAGGGCAGAGCACGGACAGAGGAAAAGGACAAGGCCTTTGACACTCTGAGTCCTCAGTGTCCGTCACCCAAGGAGACAGGCCCCATTAGTGAACACCGCGGGGCTAGCGGCCAGGCAGTCAGTTCAGTGATAACAGAAAGAGCCTCATCAGATTCCTTCTCCCTCCACCAGCTCTAAGAGCACTAATAAAACCAACCACGTATTTATTAACATTTGTCTCTCAGTAGGAAGTTGAAAACACACTATTAGGAATCATTCTAAAAATCCACCATTTGGTGCGCCTGGGTGGCTCAGTGGGTTAAGCCTCTGCCTTCGGCTCAGGTCATGATTTCAGGGTCCTGGGATTGAGCCCCACATCGGGCTCCCTGCTCAGTGGGGAGCCTGCATCTCCCTCTACCTTCACCCCAGCTCATGCTCACTCTCTCAAATAAATAAAAGCTTTAAAATTAAAAAAAAAAAAAAATCCACCACCAAGCAGTCTCTATCATATCTTACATGGTATGCACTCTACAAATTCACATTCAGGTAGTTTGAAAGCTGTAAAGAGATATAACCAGAGGACTTGGGAGGACAAGGAGGGAAAAAAACAAAACCCAAACAAACCCATTTCTCATCTTTTCCCCACCAAACCCACATTCTACACACACAATCCCCATTTCTTTTGCACAGATGTTTCTCAATAAAAGAAACGCTATTTCCCAGAATGTACTATAGCTAAACTCATCACATATTTATATGACAAATGAAGAAAGAAGAAATAAATTTTTAAATGTTTTTTCCTTACAAAATAGGAAGAGAGGATCATCGTACAACCAGCCAAAATGGAAGCCAGCACGACGTCAGGTGGGATTTCCGAACCACTCCTTCCAAGGATGGGGGTAAACATCTCGAATACTGCCCAGATGAGGTACAGTGCATAAAGATAAGGAATAAACATCCCCAAAAGGTAAAAGGCAATAAACTTCCCTCGGGCACCTAGGGAAAAAGAGAAAACACACATCTCTGAAATTCTACAGTGGGACCCAGATTCTATAGTACTGGTGTGCATGAGACAGAACGCTCATTCAGGGACATATATGACCTATGTCGTTCAGGAACAATAAAATACAGGTAAAAACACAACAAAACATGTAGTACTTTAGCTAATGTGTTCATAAACATGAGCATGGTATGGGGTATGAGGTACAGAATGAAAACTTCTGTGATCTCAACACTGAAAAAAGCAATCAGCAACCATCTTGAAAGCCTACACCCAAAGATCACAAAATACAGAAAGGGTATCCCAAGTCTTATTGTAAGCATTTTTAAGGTATTTTCCCATTTGCATCAAAACCGCAAATACCTACCATGCCGCTTCAAGTCTTTGTGCACGCAAAGCTTTGTGAGCAAGGGAAAGGCCACCCAGACCGCGCTAATGAACGCCGAGCACAGTCCTCGGTATGTGAGTGCCGTGAGAGAAATGCAGTGCACACACAGCGAGGTGTCAAAGAACACTTCTCCCAGATACCGGTCACTGGCATTCTGAAAGAAAGAAAAACACACCACTAGTCTCATGCATGGGCCGTTCACAAAGATCTTCTAACGCAGTATCATTTCCAGTGCTCAGAAGAGCTACGTTTGGTCTTAAACTTTAAGGAAATGCCCAGTAAGCTACCTCCTGTCAGAATGGCTACCCTGGGAAGGGGCATTTACTAGGACGGGGTCCAAGCATCCTGACTCATGTGCAACCTGTGCTCTCCCTCCACCAGCCTCAAAGTAACCTTTGGAAATTTGTAAAATAGAAGAAAGCACTCTCCTAAAAACATTCACTCCCGTAACTTTTCTACTATGCAACTTGCAAAGAACTTCAAGCCAAGGAGAGAAAGGACCTGTTCATGGCAGCCGATCGGCTGCCTCGAAGCCCCCTGCAGCCCCTCTGGAGTCCCGGCCATGCAGTCTGGCTGCATTCTGGAGTCTTCTCCGCTTCCCGGGAGCCCTGGGGTGTGGCTCTGCCCTGCCCTGGCTTCCTGTGGCTTTTGCATTCATCAGCCTTAGCCCAACGTGTGGGCTTGGAAGTCCGCGGACTCCGGCACAGCCGCTGGAGCCGTCAGAGGGGAGCTGCCTGAGAGTTTAACACACCCAGACACCTCGGCTCCAGGGACTCTGTCCACGCAAACATCGGTCCTTGCCGTGCAGGGACCCCGCACTGGGACAGCCAGACCTCGGGTGGTACCGCGAGAGCTTTCAGTGGCGTGTTTCCAAAACCTGTCCAGACGCCTCTGACAGACCCCCTCGGACAGGAAGGGCCACGCATTGACACCTCTCCGCGTTCAACACAGCGTGAAGACACACGGTCTTGAAAAATAATGGAAAAGGAAGTAATTCTCAGACTCTACTTGAAGCCAAGTACCACTCAGCTGTTCGAAAACAGGTCTCAGAACTGCCAACCATACCTTAAACCCCCACACTGTGGCCGGAGGTCACACAGACGCCCCCGAGACCGGGTCCCCCTCTCCCCACGTTGCCCCCCACCCATCTCCCACCGCTCATGTCCCCCAGGTCAGCTCATCGTCCTGCTCAGAAATGGTTACCGGCGGCCTCCCTCCATCTCCGAGGCCGCCTGCAGCCCCCCACTGGCCTGCCTGTCCGGTTACCGGGCTGTCATCAGCCTCACCTTCACCACACTGACCTGTTTCTGGGCTTGTGCTCTCCCCACCTCTGACCACCTGACAACCTACTCTCTGTCTGTGAGTCACAAACCCAGTTCCAGAGGCCCCGCCTCCCTCACCAAGCTTTCCTGACCTCCGCATCCTGCAGTCCCGAAGCACTGCGAACCCGCCGCTCTCCCCACTCTGCCCCGTGTGTCGAAGCCCCAGACGAAGCCCCTCAAAGACAGAGAGCACGCCCTGACCAGTCCCGGGACCACCCGCCCAGCACGGTGCCAGGCCCAGCTGGCACTCTATACACATCCCTCCTGCGCCGTGTTCGGCCCTAAATTTTAGGATCAGGCATCCAAAACTAGTCAAAGTCACTGGAACATTACTAATGGGCATTTCTGTCCTCCGCTCCCCTGCCACACAGCACCCCCACGCTCTAACACACTGTTGTAGTAAGAATGAGCATGTGAGCTTGAGCCCCACAGCAGATTCCTTTTAGGTACTGAAGCCACTAAGATACAAATATCAGCCCATCCAGAAACAGATGGCCAACTGCAAAGAACCTTCCTCCACTAGGCCTTTTAACAAGGAAGCACTCCTCAGAGCACATCCTGACATGAACTGAAACAGACACCGAGGTTCAGGCACCAGAGATCCTCATGGAAAGATCTGGATCACCACTACCTGTGTGCCCATGCTAACTCCTAGCAGGGCAAACAAAAAACAGGTGTGCATTGGCTGTCTTGAAAATAAGTTATGAAACTAAGATTTTCCTTTAGTCACTTAGAAAATCTTTAGAAACCACAGGTCACTCTGTCACTGAAGTTTACTATGACTCCGGTTACTCTGTAACCACAATTTCTACTTTGATGTTTATCAAACATATATATACAGCAGAAACCCTATGTCAGCACCAATCGTTCCAGAACCCTCTGTCCTCTCGCCTGTGCTTCCCAAGCAGTGTCTCCCAGGCCCACGCCACAGCTGATGCTGTCTGAGTCTACACTGACACCACACAGGCTAAGGAAAGGGAAGGCCACTGGAGAAAAAAGTCTTGGTGTGGCTCGAAGGGCTCCTGTGTGTCCGTGCCACGTGCCAGGGCTGCCCGAGCATGGGGGACAGCAGGCGTCCTGGCCCTGCCCTCGCAGGGTCATCCCAGGGAGGGCAGCGAGTGACCCACCAGAGCAGACAGCAGAGACGGCGACAACCACCCAAACAGAGCTTTGCTGCAGCATTGGAAGCCTCAAAAGCCTCCAAAGGAGCCTTCCAGAAACTAAAAGTGGTTCTGGGACACAGTTTTCTACAACTGTGCCAAACCATGTCTGCTCACACCGAAAGCCAAACACAACGAATCCCACTTGAGTTTGTCTTCGATCCTGGAAGGCAGCAGAAAGAAATCAAGAAACGTGCCTCACACTTACCACATAATAGAATTTTTTTGCGAGGGTGTGTATGAGTATGATTTTGGCCACGGCTGCGGTTCCGTACAGACAGACGGAGACATAGAAGTGGCTGTACCACGACAGGGACTGTCCAGTCAGAGAGACGAACACCGCCAGGATGAGCGCAGTGACCAGGCTCGTGAACCAGCTTATCAGCGTGATGCCGAGCGCGCAGAAGAAGTCCCTCCTGTAGGCGTCAGCTAATGCAGACAAAACACAAGGTGGACGTCACCGGCTGCCAAATCAACCTCACGGCCAGCCGGCGGAGTTACGGGGGTTAATGGTGAAACGAGAAATTCACCGCTGTCACTGCAACGTACAGAAAGTCCCAGAGGTCAGGTTTGTTAAAAACATGAACGACAAATAATACATAAGCAACATTCGCCGAGAGTCTGTGGCAGCAGGAACTCAGAGCCGTGAGTCCCGCAGGTCAGCTTCCATCTTCGGCACCTCAGGGATGCTCGGCGTATCGAAATACTGGCCAGAACGGAAGGTCAAGTTCCATACCGAACGCGGCTGGGCAGCTGATGCAGGAGGAGCAGTGCGGCAAAGCCCCCGGAGGGGTCCGCCACCGTGCCTCTGCCCCTGGAAGACCACCCAGCAGCCTGGACCACGAAACGTGCCGAGCAGAAAGAAACCAATCCAACCGGAGCGGTTGGGGCAGACGTCAGGACGGAGCCCTGAGCACCACTCTCTAGTGCGCACCAGCCTGCTTCATGGGAATTTCCACTAACGGTCACGTGCACGAACCTTCCCGGGAGCTCCCACGTGCTGCCGTGTCTGAGGCACGAGCACAAAGGTCCCTGCTGCGCCAACACCAGAAGTGCAGCCAGCGCCTTCATCTGAGATTTCATCTGAGATTCGCTAAAAAATCTCTTACGCGGGATGCCTGGGTGGCTCAGTTGGTTAAGCGGCTGCCTTCAGCTCAGGTCATGATCCCAGCGTCCTGGGATCAAGTCCCACATCGGGCTCCTTGCTCATCAGGGAGCCTGCTTCTCCCTCTGCCTCTGCCTGCCACTCTGTCTGCATGTACTCACTCTCTCTGACAAATAAATAAATAAAAATCTTAAAAAAAAAAAATCTCTTACGCTATAAATCAGAGGTTATGTTTAGGATTTTGGAATCCCTGAACGGAGGTAAACGGACCAGAAAAACTGCGGGCAGGGTCTCATTCCCAGGCCAGCACTGTGGTTTGAGAGGAAAATACTCACTCTTGTGCTTGGGCTGCAACAACTTTTTGCCCAGGTACAACACGACAGCCATCACCACCATGCAGTTAATGATGGTGCCGACGCGGGAGGGGTAGGCAATGACAAACAGGCCGAGCACGTCAAAGAAGACCATGTTTCCATGTCGATACTTAGAGGAAGAAGGCAACATATCCGATGTAGCTAAGTATTTAAGAACTGCTAAAATGTTGTCACCTGTTAGTAAAGAAGAGAAAGACAAGTGTGTGAACAGACCACGGGCAGTGCAAGGACGGCCGCAAACAGGAAGAGCTTTCCACACCGCTACCCCACCGTTCTCACCAAAGGTCTCAAAGGTCTGGGCGCCCACTCTGTGTCCTCTCCACGCACACGCTCGGCCCGCTGGCCTTCCCCCTCTCCCTTGCACGGGAACTGTTCTCTGACGCATCCTTTCCTCGCTACTGACAAACCCAACGGCTGTTTCTTAGTCTAGTCATTTAACATGGACCTTAAGTACTGCTCCAGATACCAGAAAGCCAGCGCTGAGCCAAGAGACAAAAGGCCCTCAGGAAGGTCACAGACACCAAACACACTATGGCACGTAGGTTAAGAATAAGGAATGTCAATTCTATCTCAACTTAAAACAGGAATACAGATGGGGAGCAGAGGCCCCCGGGGACCACACCTGGGCGGCCAATGGAGTTAAGAAGTGAGGGAGGCACTTCTGTCTAGATGCTCCCATAAAAGCACTCCGTGCTGTTCAGGGCCTGGGAACGGGAGCGAGCTCAACGGGAGAGACATCCCGTGAGCCAGAGCCGCGGAGGGGGAAGCCCTGAGGGGACTTTCCAAACACAACATAACACAAGTCTGACTCAGGAGTCCTTGGCCACAAAGCCGGGGAGCGGTAAAGCCGCTGGTGGGCAGAGCTCGGCACACATGGAACAACCGAGCCTGAACCTGAACGCAGGAGGAGGAAGACATGAGCCACAGGCGGTTCTCCCGTGTTCATACCACCCCTGACTTTCTTGGCTTCTCCGGAGATGCCACACTGCCTTGTCGTGCCACTTCTGTCCCTGGCTTCCCCACCAGCCTCCAAATGTGTTTTCCCCAAAAGTTCAGGCTGAGTCCCCTGCCTCTGCTTCACTCTCCCAAAGTGCATTCCCTCCCCCATGCTTCTGTGGATTTCTCAATGCCTCTGATTCCCAAACCCGTATTCCTAGTGGGTCCTTCCAGCCGGCTGGTTCACAGACCCCTCCATCCATGTCTGACAGAGCTGATGGCCTCCTTCCCCTCTCCATGACTGCTCTGGGTGAGGTCACCTTCCCACGTCCCCATCAAGGTCAATGGCACCGCCTTTCCCCAGCCAGCTGGGACTTAGGCTTCACAGCCGGGTCTGCCGCCGGCCACCTGGTCAGCTCCTGTACACGTCCCACCCAGACTGCAGCCTGACACCACTCACCAACAATCCACACACACACACACACACACACACACCTATGCACACACATATGCACACACGCACATGCCCATACTCTGCTCTTCCTGGAGCACCCTTCTCTTCTGCGTGGCACCAAATCCTATCAACTCTGTCATTAGGGTTCCCCACCAGACTCCCCTCTCCTGACCAGTCCAGACTTCTCTGGAAAGCATGTTAAGCCCCAGCCCTGGTGTTGTGCTGACACCTGTTTTGTAACCCACTCACCTGCCCTCACCACCCAAGATGGACCAACATAACTTCCTGCAGCCAGGCACGCTGCCCCAACATGCCCAGAGCCCCCTCTGCCATCTGACTTCCGTTCCATACGCGCTCATCGCTCAGCCACACCACGTTCACCCTGGGCCCGCTCTCTTCCCAGTGCCCCACAATCAACAGTCCTACATTCTTAACGGCTAACCTAGACTTCAAGGCTAAAATCCGAGCCCTCATCAGACTCCAAAGCCCACCCAGCTCATGCACACCGCACACTGCGTCCCTAATGCACAGTCCACAGGGAATTTGTAGGTTTGTAGGTCAGCCCTGAGACTCCATCTTACCACAGACCAAGAGTCTACGTTTGAATACCAACCTGCTCTCTGAATGGAATCTGTTAGAATTCTGTCTGCGGTGTCATACTTGGTGTGATAAATGTATCCGTTCTCGATAAAAGCTAAGTCAATTCCTAAGACACACAGAAAAAAAGCGTCATTTTGCTCTAAAGAACCACCTTTCTAAAAGAAACAAGATGGGATCGGGAGGGAGACAAACCATAAGAGCCTCTTAATCTCACAAAACGAACTGAGGGTTGCCACGGGGAGAGGGGAGGGAGAGGGTGGCTGGTTATGGACAAGGGGGAGGGTATGTGCTATGGTGAGTGCTGTGAAGTGCGTAAACCTGGCGATTCACAGACCTGTACCCCTGGGGCTCATAATACATTATATGTTAATAAAAAATTAAAAATTTTTAAAAAACCTTTAAGCCCGTTTAACATATTAAATTCCTAAACAACAAAATGTCAAAGCAGTGGCACCATCGCCATCCTGTTCATGAATGTCTGACAGTGTCTAGAGCTGCGACACAAAATAACCAGGGAAGTACACATACCAGGGAGACCTCACAAGTCACACAGCGAGGGGCGGGGGGCATACAGCTCAGGAGGCCAGAGAACTCCGCTGTCTACACCCGTGCTGGGCCAGAGCCAAACTCTAACTTCACATCAGCTGTACAAGCCGCCACGGGAGCTAGCCAAGGCAGGCAACGACAAAGCCATAGACCCTCCAGGATCTCCGGCCACCACTGCGGGGAGCCTAAGTGCTAACCAGCTGTCCCCCGTCCTGCCACTGTGTGGGGAAAGACGACAGGTTCTAGAAAAGGCAAGCATTTGATTTAAACCAGAAAATATCCGGAAATCAGTTTCAGTGACTCAGAATACACAGCTCTCACAACGGAATGCACTCTCAGGATACACTGTTGGCTCACAATCCTGCAAAAAAGTAAAACCTGCTTCTACTCAATCGCCACTGGGCTAAAGCCCACGGTAGTGCAAAAAATACCTGGAATGTTCCCAAAATCCCTGTAGATGCGGAAGTCGGTATCTGAAGGAATGATTCCACTCTGGAAGACCTCCTGAGCCACCACGGAAGCAAACGGGTGTTTAGCGGCGGAAACATAGGCCTGGACCAGCCATGGGTTCTCAGGACCTAGAAGGAAACAGGAGAACACAGCACAAGGTGACGTGGTCATATTCTTAACACACCACACACAGTTGCTGCTGTGGCCTGGGGACACAGACCCAGAGCAGTCTCTTCACATTGTTTCCTGTGTTTTCTAACATTTGTTTGATTAGGTGTATATTAACTTTAAGAATGAGGAATTAGGGGCGCCTGGGTGGCTCAGTGGGTTAAGCCTCTGCCTTCGGCTCAGGTCATGATCCCAGGGTCCTGGGATCGAGCCCCGCATCGGGCTCTCTGCTCAGCAGGGAGCCTGCTTCCTCTGTCTCTGCCTGCCTCTCTGCCTATTTGTGATCTGTCAAATAAATAAATAAAATCTTAAAAAAAAAAAAAAGAATGAGGAATTATGGGGCACCTGGGTGGCTCAGTGGGTTAAGCCTCTGCTCAGGATCTCAGGGTCCTGGGATGGAGCCCTGCATCGGGGGGGGGGGTCTCTGCTCAGCGGGGAGCCTGTTTCCCCCTTTCTCTCTGCCTGCCTCTCTGCCTACTTGTGATCTCTGTCAAATAAACAAATAAAATCTTTAAAAAAAAAAAATGAGGAATCACTTGTCAGAAAACAAAATTATTTTTAATTACAAAATAATAGCACTTCATAAAACTTTAAGATTAAAAATGAAGAACTACCCAAAAGTCCATCATCCTAAGGCAACTCTTTTCACCTTTACATCTTCAATTGTCTTACAAACATACAGTTGTGTGTACAAGATGGAATATTATTCAGCCGTTAAGAGGAGGAAATCTTGTCATTTGCAACAGCATGGATAGACCTTGAGCACATTATGCTAAATAAGTCCTACAGAGAAAAAGAAATACCATATGATCTCACCCAAATATAAAATCTAAACAAAAGAAAACAATAATCCCAACTCAGAGATACAGAGACAGACTGACAGCTGCCAGAGGAGCAGGCTAGTGCGGGGGTGGGGGCGGGGCGCGCTGACATGGGTGAAGGCAGTTGAAAGGGACGAACTTGCAGTCAACAGCTCAGTCAGTCTGGGGCGCCTGGCTGGCTCCTGTGATGGAGCAGGCAGCTCTAAGTTCGAGCCCCACAGAGGGGCAGAGACTACTTAATACTGAAATCTTTATTTATAAGTAAATAAATAAATAAATAGATAAATAAAATAAGTCCTGGGGATGCAAGGTACAGCATGGTGACTGTTAATAACACTGTACCAAATACTGCAGCACTGCTAGAAGAGTAGGTCTTAAAAGCTCTCATCATGAGAAAAAATACTTTGTGACTGATGACGATGTTAACTAGACCTACTGTGGCGATCATTTTGAAATACACACAAATATTGAATCATCTGCTAAACCCCTGGAACTTAGGAGGGAAAAAAATCATCTTGTATTGCTAGAATAAGCTCAACTCAGTTGGAAAACATTATCTTTTCTATGTGTGTGTGTGTGGTGTGTGTGTATATATAGCGGGGAGCCTGCTTCCCCCTCTTTCTCTCTGCGTGTGTCAAATAAATAAATAAAATCTTTAAAAAAAAAAAAAAAGAAAGAAAGAAAGAAAGTTCAAACACAAGCAAAATTAAATCTGTCAAGACCTAAGTCCAGACAGCAGTAATCTTTCACAGGAGAAAGGCTGGGAAGGGTCAGAGGGGTGGATCCGGAGTGCAGACAATACTCTCAGTCTTCATCTGGGTTCTGGTTATAGGATTATATTGTCGTAAAAATTCATCAGGCTGAACACCCAGAGCTGTGTGCTTTTCTTTTACAATGAAAAAATGAAACAAAGACACTTACAATGTCAACACGTATGAAAAAGGTCAAGACCTGGGCACCTGGGTGGCTCAGTTGGTGGCTCAGGTCACGATCCAGAGGTCCCAGGATCGAGCCCACATAGGGCTCCCTGCTCAGCGGGGAGTCTGCCTCTGCTCCTCCCACCCTACTTATGCACGTGCTCTCCCTCTCAAATAAATAATATCTTAAAAAAGAAAGGAAGGAAGGAAAGGAAGGAAGGAAGGAAGGAAGGGAAAGTAAGACCCATCGGCAGGTAAGAAATATACAGTTTTAAATGTCCACTGCCTGCCCTTTAAAGCCCTGGAGAGCCAACTCCTGCGTGTCGGCACCGCAGCCCGGCTCCAGCCTCTCACTGATCACCCGCTGAGGCCTACAGGTCAAGCTTTGGTACAAAAAGGAAGTCTGGAGAGACCGGGCTAGGCAAGTCAGTCAGCTCCTGAGTGAGCTACTCCCCACCGTACAAACAAGGCAAAGGGGGCCCTTAGATGAAGAATTACAGAAGTGAGGGTTTTACTCGGTGGTTACTAATCTTGACAGGTGGCTACTGACACTCTCCCAACGTTACAGATGAGGAACTAGCAGGAGCAGTTGTGTGACTGGTTCAAGGTTGCCTGCAAGGGTGTGTGATCTGGCTGGAGCCTGTGCAGGTGCTACAGGAGCCAGGTAAGACAAGGAATTCCACGCCTGGGGAACACCGCAATAGCTGGCACCAGAGAAATAAGCAATTGTCCGGACGGGGGGAAAATGTTTACGTCACCATGAACATAACCAGTCTCCTGTGCGTAGACCTGGGAGGCAGTTGCAATTGTTTGCTCTTATAAAAAGCCAAGAAGGGGCGTCTGGGTGGCTCAGTGGGTTGGGCCTCTGCCTTTCAGCTCAGGTCATGATCTCAGAGTCCTGGGATCAAGCCCCTCGTTGGGCTCTCTGCTCAGCGGGGAGCCTGCTTCCCCTACCCCACCTTTGCCTGCCTCTCTACCTGTGATCTCTGTCAAATAAATAAATAAAATCTTTATTTAAAAAAAAAAAAGCCGAGGGGCACCTGGGTGGCTCGGTAGGTTAAAGCCTCTGCTTTCGGCTTAGGTCATGATACCAGGGTCCCGGGATCAAGCCCCGCATCAGGCTCTCTGCTCCGCAGGCAGCCTGCTTCCTCCTCTCTCTGCCTACTTGTGATCTTTGTCTGTCGAATAAATAAATAAAATCTTTAAACAAAACAAAACAAAAAGCCAAGAAGACTATGCAGTACTTGGATTAATGTGTCCATGTGCAGTTATTTCTACAGGATAAATTCCTGCAAGTGGCCTTGTCGGACAGAAGGGTCTGCACACATTTTTTTAAAGTGGTACCTATTGCCAAATTGTGCCAAAATGGCATCAGTCTACACTCCCCCATCACTGTCCAACACTGCCCGCCCCACCAGCACTGGGCATTATCATTCTACTTACTTTCTGCAAATCTAAAGTCTAAAAAATTCACTAAAAAAATAAATACAATTTAAATTTACTACTATCTGAATTTATATTTCTTCTGAAATAAAGCTTGACTACTTTGTTTGGCAGTTTCTTAAAAAGTTAAACATAAATTTACCATATGACCTAGGTATCCACCCAAAAGAAAGGAAAACATATGTCCACACACAGACTTGCACACAAATGCCCACAGCAACAGTATTCCCAAGAGCCTGGAAGCAGAAATCAATCCTAATGTCCATCAACTGAGAAACCCACCAACAAAACGCACTCTACCCGTACAGCGGAACATGATTCAGTCACAAGGAGAAGGAAGTGCTCACATGTGCTACCACGTATGGATGAACTTTAGAAAACATCCTATATATTGAAAAAAAAAACAGACTAGTGAGTGTGTGGCTTCTCTTTGGGATGATAAGAAGATTCTAGAATTGATGCAGTGATGGCCACTCGATGCCATGAACAGATCTAAAAACCACTGAGTTTTACTTCAAATGGGTGAATTACACGGTATGTGGCTTACACCTCACTAAAGCTGTATTCTGTTTTAAATGAATGTGATCTCAAGCAGGTTACAAAACAGTAAATAGAGCAGGATCACATCTTGTAATACATATTAACTCACTCTGTCAATGTGAGTGTACAGAAAAAATTCTAGAAGAGCAGGGACTAAACCATCACACTGGTTTGCTCTGGGGCAGGACATGGGGCACATTTTTCATAAGATGAAAGAAGGATTCTGTGACCCCTTTGCTTTGGGGCTTCTACTCAAGGTTGGTAGTACCTGAGTTTTTCACAGGGGACATTTATTACTGGTTTAATCTGATTATATTTTAAAATAATGGATTTTACAACACCTTAAAACGATTCAAGCAGCCTTACTGGGTCATGACATAGATCGCCAGTCTGATAAAGTCAGTCATTCTTTCCTGCATCCTGGCCCTTTTTAGAATCAGGTGGTAATGATTATTCCAGTCAGTGAAAACTCCCCGAGTGAATGTTTCTCTCTGAAGGGACAATGGAACACGAGTGAGTACTAATGGCTTTAACCAAGACGTTTCCAGAACAGGACAAGTGCCTGTTTACAAAACTGAGGACAGGCCAACCTAGCAGGACTCCACACCCCAGAGGCTTTATCCCCCTGCAGTCACAAGTGGAAGCCGCGCTGACTTGGAAAGCCCTCCCCGCAAGGAAGCCAAGCTTTAGGGGGCAGTGGCACAGTGAAGGGAGAGCCTGAGGAAGGTGCTGGAACATCAGAACAAGCCAGGGAAGCTGTCCCGTATGCCGTTCAGCTGCAGGAAGAGGCTACCAAAACCTAGGAAAACATGGAGTAAAAACTCAGAAAAGGGGGACACATTCTCTCCAAATCTTCTGCAGGATGCCCTCCCGAAAAAATTAATTCTGAAGCATGAGGATTTTATTTTCAAATGAGTGAAACGTTTGAACTGTATGTACAGTTAACCCTTAGAACAACACGGGTTTGAACTGTGCCGATCCACTGCCATGCAGGTGTTTTTCAATAAATATGTGTAATACTGGAAGTATATTTTCTCTTATGATTTTCCTAAGAACATTGTCTTTTCTCTAGCTCACTCTGTTAAAGGTTACAACATACAATACATCCAACATACAAATGTGTGTTGACCGACTGCTCATTATCAGTAAGGCTTCCAGTGTATGGTAGACCAGTAGTTCGGTTTTTGGGGAATCAAGAGTTACACACAGGGCACCTGGGTGGCTCAGTGGGTTAAAGCCTCTGCCTTTGGCTCAGGCCAAGATCCCAGGGTCCTGGGATCGAGCCCCGCATCGGGCTCTCTGCTCGGTGGGGAGACTGCTTTCTCCTCTCTCTCTCTCTCTCTCTCTGCCTGCCTCTTTGCCTACTTGAGATCTCTGTCAAATAAATCAATCTTAAAAATCTTAAAAAAAAAAAAGTTACACACAGACTTTCAACCATTCAGGGGATCAGCGCCCCAACCCCTGCGTTGTCCAAGGGGAAACTGTATATTGCTAATTAGTAACAACTCTATTCTTTGCTTTCATTATTGACATCATCAAATGCAATGCAAAATGTAAACAATACAGAGAAGTAAAAAGAGTGTAAGTAAAGCAGTAATGACAATTCTGGTTTTAAATTCATGAAGCAATGGAGAGTTCAAGGTGGCTTTTCACATTTAGCCCCTTCCTCTGCCCCAGGGACACCTACCCCCGCTCCACCTGGTGACACTCACCAACCAGCAGGGACCGTTACTGTAGTCTGTCTGCATCTTTCCAGGTAACACATCTAACATGCATGCAGGTGTGTAACATTTATGTAAAACTACCCACACTTAGTAAAAAGATCATGGGCTGTAGGCTAGTCACACCCAGCAGAAGTGGGTACTCGATAAATGTAAATGAAGACATTAACTTGGATCTAGAGCTAACTGACCCGAGGGAAATGTGTTTTAACATCTCTGGACTACACACGTGTAAAATTCACTTCTATACAAGCACAGAACACGTGCGTGTTCATATAGATGCACAGAATAAATTCAGGAGAGGTACAGGCTACACCTCAGGACTGGTTTTTTTTTTTTGTTTTTAATTTATTTATTTATTTATTTGTCAGAGAGAGAGAGAGAGCACAAGCAGGCAGAGCAGCAGGCAGAGGCAGAGAGAGAAGCAGGCTCCCTACTGAGCAAGGAGCCTGACGTGGGACTTGATCCCAGGACCGTGGGATCATGACCTGAGCCGAAGGCAGCGGTTTAACCCACTGAGCCCCCCAGGCGTCCCTCGGGACTGGTTTTGATCTGGGTCCTAGGAGTCCACGGCGGACCGTACTGAGCACTTCACACAAAGCACTCCCCCAGGAGGGAAGACGCACAGACACGCTCGGGCCCGCGCGAGACCCTGGCATTTTCGCTGGAGGACAGACATGGCATCAGCTCTGCTTGCAGAATTTCCTCTTGCTGCTTTTCGATCTGGTGGTTGTTCCATCCCATAACCCCCCTATCCTGACTGAACCCCAGAGCAGGAGGGCACGGATAATAGTGTGGCCTCTACTGAGCCCCACAGAGGTCTGCGCCAGCTTCCCACAGGTTAGGTGAGGCGTAAGAGCGAGCAGAAAGGTCGGAGAGTTAGAAGGAAAGGAACATGTTCTTCTCATCTCAGGACCTTGGGATTCTCAGAGGTCAGCTGACATAAAACATTTGCCCATTCTGAAGGGTAAATGTGTAAAATAAGTTGGAGAATATTAAAATACTGTGCTGTTTAAGGTATGTATAAGGACATGCTTAGCCCATCCCCCCCAACACCGGGTCTGTACAGGGCACTAAATAGCTCCCCTATCAGCTTACTTCTTCTAGCCCATCTCAGGCCCCCCATTACAGAACTTATACCAAATGCTGTGTGTCTGGCTAAAACACACTGTGCACATTTCTAACACACTGGGGAAAATGGTGTGCAATTTCCCACGTGAGAGTTTAGGAAGCCCAGAACTTTGAAGTCTGTTGAAAAACACAACAAATGACCCTCACTAACTTAATGCGCACTATCCTCATGCCCCATCATCTCGTTACCCTCCGGAAGGCTTACCTGTCAAATTAAAAATATTTCTCTGGCTGATGAAGTATTACTGAATTCTGTGAGATTCAAACTAATTCAATGATCGACTTAAAGCCCCTTAACCAGAAGCGTATTTTCTCATTTAACTCATGAAACAGTTGTCACTTAGTATTACTTAGATCGTGATCACCCGTAACAGACAGAACAACGTCCTCCGCCTATATGACAATCTGGTTCGTGGTTACGAGCAAGGGCTGCGAGCCTGGGCCGCCTAGGTTCCATCCCACTATGACTTTTACCAACTATGAGACCTCACGGACATTCTGATGTCTCCTGGCTTGGTCTTCTCACGCAAAGTGACAGTACTCAGCCTTGAGGCTGCTCCGAGGACTAAGTGACTTAACACACAGACGATCCTCTGAACAACACTTGGCGCATAAGTGCAATGCAAGTGTCAGGTGCTGTTACATCATCTTGTTAAAAACGCCAACAGCGGGGAAATACAAATCAAAATCACAATGAGATACCACCTCATACCAGTCAGAATGGCTAAAATTAACAAGTCAGGAAATGACAGATGCTGGCGAGGATGCGGAGAAAGGGGAACCCTCCTACACTGTTGGTGGGAATGCAAGCTGGTGCAACCACTCTGCAAAACAGCATGGAGGTTCCTCAAAATGTTGAAAATAGAACTATCCTATGACCCAGCAACTGCACTGCTGGGTATTTACCCTAAAGATACAAACATAGTGATCCGAAGGGGCACATGCACCCGAATGTTTATAGCAGCAATGTCTACAATAGCCAAACTATGGAAAGAACCTAGATGTCCATCAACAGACGAATGGATAAAGAAGATGTGGTATATATACACAATGGAATACTATGCAGCCATCAAAAGAAATGAAATCTTGCCATTTGTGACAACGTGGATGGAACTAGAGGGTATCATGCTTAGCGAAATAAGTCAATCGGAGAAAGACAACTATCATATGATCTCCCTGATATGAGGGAGAGGAGATGCAACATGGGGGTTAAGGGGGTAGGAGAAGAGTAAATGAAGCAAGATGGGATTGGGAGGGAGATAAACCATAAGTGACTCTTAATCTCACAAAACAAACTGAGGGTTGCTGGGGGGGAGGGGGGTTGGGAAAGAGGGGTGGCGTTATTATGGACATTGGGGAGGGTATGTGCTATGGTGAGTGCAGTGAAATGTGTAAACCTGGCGATTCACAGACCTGTACCCCTGGGGAAAAAAATATATTATATGTTTATAAAAAATAAAATTAAAAAAATAAATTTTTTTTAAAAATGTAAAAAAAAAAAACCGCCAACAGCGACCAAACAAAAGTATCCCATGCTTTACAAAGGTTTGTTTCATCAGAGAGATTAAGTCCGAGAAGCCTCCACTTTCATAAAAATAAGAACTGCATTCAAGTATAGGAAAATGTAAAACACAGGCTCACATACCTGTTTGGAACACCAGCTCCTTCCCTCCCACGCCCGCCGCCTCCAGGTTAATAAATGCGCGAATCAGGCTGGCCCAGGGGTGCTGAGTTATGAAACCATGACTGGCCTGAATAAGTAGGGAATAAAACAAATATAGGTTAAACAACCTTAAATTATCAAAGTCTTTATTTTGCTTATTTTGAAGACAGAGTGTGTATGCTGATAAGGGGAAGAATGGGAAAATATTTTTTTTCGAAGGTAGGATCTCAAGACATGTGTCTGCTTCTCCGCGCCTGATGGCTGCGAGCATCTGCTGAGTGGAAAGTCACCATCCCGGAAGGCAGCCTGATTCCCGTGGGCAGTGCCAAGCACTGTCAGCAAGCGTGAGGCTGGGCCAGCGACAGAGCAGAAAGGACAAGCCTCGTGCTCGGGTGTTCACACTGCGTGCCGGTCTCAAAACAGCTCTGGAACTCCAGGGTCCCAGAAACCCCGAGGTGGTTAACTGTGCCCTCACAGAGCCCTTTTATGAATCAAACACTGACAAGATGATCTGTGGCGAGTTCTCAAATGCTGCACATGGGTCTGCAGGGGCTGTGGGGTTTTTGAGGCACTGCCGGGCACAACGTTATTGTTATGTGATACTACTATGTGACCTACACAAATGAATAATCAAAGTGTGGGTTAGTATTATTACTATACTCTTTGTTATTACTCAAATCTAGTACCTCCAAGAGTAAAATCTCACCTGTAGGACATTTTCCTCAGCACCATTAAAGAGAAATATGACAGCATGATGTAAGGCTTCTGAAGACGCAGAAAAGACACGAAGGACCTCCAGCATCACTGCACAGCTAACGGCATCATCGCTGGCACCTTTAAATCAGAAAACGAGATTGCTCCTCAGATTTTAAAACTCTTAGAGGATGAAGCAGCGCCCGGGTGGCTTAGTCGGTTAAGCGTCTGCCTTCAGCCCCGGTCATAGTCCCGGGGTCCTGGGATCGAGCCCTGCATGAGGCTCCCTGCGCAGTGGGGAGTCTGCTTCTCCCTCTCCCTTTGCCCCTGCTGCTCATGCTCTCGCTTCTAAGTAAATAAAATCTTTGAAACTAAAAAAAAAAAAAAAAAAAAAAAAAATAAAAAAAAAAAAAAACCTTTTACAGGATGAACCATCATGGCTACAAATGGGTTTTTCTCATCAAGAAAGCTCCACAGTGTGGCTCAGTCAGTTGAGTGTCCAACTCTTGATCTCAGCTCAGGTTTTGCTCTCAGGGTCATGAGTTCTAGCCTTGCGCTGGGCTCCATGCTGGGTGTGGAGCCTACTTCACACAAAAAAAAGCACCGCCGTGGCTGCAAGACCAGAAGCATGGCTGTCGGTCAGCTCCCACCCTGCCTCACTCCACAGGGCTGGGACCGTCGTCTGGTTGACCTGCGGGCCTGTGTGGGACCACGCTCGCCCTGAACATTACTCGACTCGCATCTGTTCAATCAGCAGCCAGGAGGGACCTCACTTACTACTGAAAAGTGGCATTCTCATCACCCCGGGGCAATCTGCTCCATTCTCTCTCCTCGGGCCATGTCCTCCACAGTAACCTCACGTCTGGTGCTCTGGCTTCTGGCGTCATCCCCGTGGCCTCTGTGCCTTTCCTGCCGCAATCACAAAGCTGTGCCTCCCTCCACTTTGACGGGGGGGGGGGGGGGGGGGGGGGGGG